CAGACTGGTCCCCAGCCTCCTGTTCAGTCGCCTCCCGTCCAATCTCCTCCCCCTCCGCCTCCCGGTCAGACTCCTCCTCTCCAGCCGGCCCCAGGGCAGATACCTCCCTCTGGTCCCCCTCCACCACCTGGCGCACCGGCAACTCAAGTGGTATGTATCCCCTTTCATGGCTCCCTTTCCTCGTTCACACTTCACTATGAGATGCCTCCCCAGATCCATCCACATGAAGAAGAACTTATACTGACTGCTCCACAACAGCCACCATCACCGGTCGCACCGACGCAAGTCTCGCCTGCTGCAGCGACTCCCACCGCAGGGCTGCCATTCGTGGGCGAAGCTAATGCCAACGATCCTACTCTTGTTAGTTACATTGCCTTCCTCCTCGGTGCACTCGCTGCTCTCCTATAAAGTGGGGATCTGGGACGGGTATGTTTGGAAATAAAGTGATGGAACAGAGGAGGGATGAAAGAAGAGATGGTAACAAAAAATTGTGCTAACGAATGTTTCGGGCGTTAATGGCGTGTGTTTAAAGTGTCATAGAACGAAGTGGTAAAGCAGAACAGTTTTTACTTTCTAGAAGGCGTGCCTCTCGTGATTGCATTCTGAGGACAAATGGAAAAGTAGCACCCAATGCGCGGCAGTCAAGGTAGATGACACGATCCGTGCAGGCGTCGAGGCATCATATGTAAACATATGTTGTGCAGCACGTTAATCTTTGTTCTGGCGCAGTGGGTGCAGACCGGTCGCGTCAGTGAATGTTCTGTTCGTAGTCTGAGATGGAGACATCAGCCACCATCTACACTTTCGCCCTCCGCTTGGCCATTAGCTCGCTCAAAGGCAAGTCATCTTCCTCGTCGTAGAACTCCAGATCCTCATCCACGCCAAAATCTCTTAATCGTTCCCCCTCGGCATTGCGCCAGGTCTCTTCACCGCTGTTACTATGTTCTTCTTGAGAAAGCCCCGCATCGGGGCCTGAAATTTGATCATCTTCATCTTCGTCGTATCTTCCATACCGATACGAATCATCCCTCTGCTGTCTCATTCTCTGCTGAGCACCCTCCACGCGCTGAACGAATGGCTTCCGACGAACAACTCCACTGCCTCCTTTTCTTCGAGCGAAATCTTCTTCTTGACGTTTCTTGAACGCAGCAACAGTTTCTGCGGAACTGAGATCGGCATCAAGCAGAGTGGAGCCATCTGATTGCGGCTTCTGCCAGGTACGCTGTAGGCGATCTGGGTCCGGGGGCGGCCAAGGGAGATCGGAAAAGCCGTTGGTAGGGTAGGAAAGGCCGGTACTGATACGGGGCGTAGGAGCCAATGGCCAGAACCAGGCTAATACCTTAACGAAATGTAAGACTGGGACGTCTTGGGAGACTCGGCCGTGATACCATGTGACAGCAATGCGCCACTGGGTATGGAAGAGGCATATATCCCTTTTCTGAAGACTGGATGATGGAAAGGGAAATAGCACTCACGTTCCCAGTCCCCATCCCCTCCTTACAATTCGTCCAAATACCCACATCGTACGGGAACTCCTGCTTTTCAATCCTGACCTGCACACCACCAGGCCCCTCCAACCAGCCGCCAAAGTACCTGGCCCGCCTCACTAGCGTCGCATGTCGTTCGATTTCCCAACCTTCGATGGTCGTCGTATTGACTGCCAGCGACCAGATATTCCTTACTAGCAAGATGCCCAACGCAAATAACATCACAAAGTCCCCTACGCAAAGGGCAAACAGGTGAACCAGCTGAAGCATACTGGGTCCCAGGTAGCTAGGCATGTTCCGATTGTGCCAGAGATGCGCGATGGGTGGCCAGAGCAGCGATGCCAGGTAGGCAAGGGACGCAACGGCGTAGAAGAGGAAGCGGAGAAAATGGGGAAATGTGGTATGTGAGACGCAGTTGGCCGTCCATGGGCAGTGATGATCCATTTTCGGGATGCAGCGTCCGCAGGTGCGGCAGTGGTGAGCTCGAGGCGGCTTGGGAAGATTGCACTTACGGCACCATTTTCGGTGACCGTTCGTGTTATCTGGTCGGGATTGGGATGGAAAATTGTCGGAGACATCATTCGCTGGTCCTTTCTCGTGCTCATGCATAGTGGGAATATGGCCTGGATCTACAAAAACGGAGCGTGTATAGGAGATGAGGAGGCAGATGAGTAGAATATTGAAGCGAATGTATTCGCCTTCCGTGGGGGGAGCCGGTTCCAGGTCTTTGAGAAGCCATTGCGAGGTATACGCCAGGAAGAATATCAATACGTAGACGGACGGGACGGCGAGGTTCGATAACTCCATTCCTAGGAGTGGTCTACGACAGAACAAGAAGGGGGCTTAGGATTGGATAGATTGGGCGCTTACATAATGGTGCAATGGTCCAAGTGTAGCACTGCTGTTACCCGCAATATCACTCGTTTTGAAACTCAGAATTTGAATCGTTCAAGTAAAAACTCAAGTAAAGTTCACTGTAAATCGAAATGTGCAAACATAATGGACATTGAAAATTCTATGCAAGGATTGGGCGTGCTGACGATGTACGCTTTGCCATTCATAAGATAAAGGAGCTGGGTCAAATCCTCATATCACACACTGAACACTCACCCCCTCTGACTGGAACTGACAGTCAGCAGTGTTGATTGCACTGTCGTGTTGTAAGGAAAGGGGATGAAGGTCCATTGTACATCACGTGAAAGGCACGTGACTATTCCCAACCCACCTCTGTTTCAACCTCATCTCATCTCCCTCCATCACCACCGGCCTGTACTCAACAGCGGGCGACAGACCGTCAAATTCTCATCAACTCCGCCGCCATCCCTCTCCAGCACCGATGCCACCATGACACCCCATCCCACCAGCCTCCTCCCCCTCCTCTTCCCTCTCCTCATCCTCCTCTATCTCTTCCTCTGCCCCTACACCAAAGTCGAAGAATCCTTCAACATTCAAGCCATCCACGACATTCTGTACTATGGGATTCCCATTCCATGGCGGGACAATGCGGCGGAGTTTTTTGCAAAGAGATATGACCATGTGGCCTTCCCTGGACCCGTGCCGAGGACGTTTGTGGGAGCATTGATGGTCTCGGGGCTGGCCAGGCCGTGGTTATGGGTTTGTAGAGGGGATTGGGGGTGTGTGCAGGTATTGGGTGAGTGGTTATTTGGTTACTTTTTTTCTAAATGTTGAAGTCGTCCTCTGTCAACGTCTAGACTTTCGCCTTTCTTTTTGGTTTCACTCGTCAAGAATCGATGTTAGAAGAAAGGAGAATTCCAGTCGGATGCTTGGTGCACTCTAGCTTGAAAGGCTCTGTTTCCCTCTCATGGTGCTCTTCCTCCTTTCCCAGCTCCCTTTTCGACCCGTCATACCCGGTCAACCACCCGAGTCTCTCATGTCCTTCACATCCCTTCCCTCTCCCCTTTCTTACTAGCAGAAGCATTCCCACATCCTACTCCAAAAGCATAAACTAACCCCTCCTCGTCAGTCCGAGCCGTACTCGGCCTCCTCAACAGCTTCACCCTCATCCTCTTCAGCCGCAGCATCTCGCGCGCCTTTGGTCGCAGTGCGGGTGTCTGGTACATCCTCTTCCAAGCGAGCCAATTCCACGTCATCTTTTACGCGTCTAGGACGTTGCCGAATATGTTCGCCTTTTGCTTCAGTATGTCTGCATCTCATTCCCGTATTCCTTTCATCATGGCTATCCTCAGGTTTCTGGACTACCCATTCCGTCCGATTTTCGGTGTAGAAGCCGGTTCTCTGCTGCTCCCGAGACAATGCGTTCTCGCGCCCCCTTAAATGATGATCTCTTTACATACCTCGCACAATCATCACTAACAAGAACCCAGCAACCCTCTCCCTAACCCTCCTCCTAAACTCCCACACCCACCCTCCACCCCGCCGAACCAACTCCCTCACCCTCTCCCTCCTCCTCCTCACAACAACCACCATCCTCTTCCGCTCCGAACTCCTCCTCCTCCTCACCCCCCTAACCCTCCACACCCTCCTCCTCACCCCACCCCCCCTCCGCCTCCCTCTAATAACCCACACCATCCTCCCAGCAGGCCTCCTCGGCACCCTTCTCGCCCTCCCCCTAACCCTAACACTAGACTCGTACTTCTGGCACGCCTGGACCACGACTCCGCTCTGGCCCGAACTCTCCGCCTTCTGGTACAACACGATCCTCGGCCACAGTTCGGCCTGGGGCGTGAGCCCCTGGCACTTCTACTTCTCGTCCGCCCTGCCGCGCCTCCTGCTCAACCCCTTAACCTACCCCGTCTGCATCCCATTTGCTGTCCTGCATCCCGCGACGAGGCGCAACGCCACGGCCTTGCTGGTGCCGACGGCGGGGTTCGTGGCGCTGTACTCGCTGCTCGCGCACAAGGAGGCGCGGTTCGTCATGTACGCTGTCCCTGCGCTGACGGGCGTGGCGGGCGCGGGCGCGGGGCTGATTTGGACGCGGAGAGGGAAGTCGAGCATCTACGCGGTTCTCAGCGCAGGCATGGCGGTTTCGGTGATGGTGTCGTTTATGGCGAGTGCGGCGGTGGTGGGGGTGAGTAGTTTGAATTATCCTGGGGGCGAGGCGATGGGGGAGTTGCATCGGATTATTGCATCTGCATCTGCATCTGCCTCGGCCTCGGAGAACGGGAACGGGAACGGGAGCAGTGTGAACTGGACCAGCAGGAAAGACGGCGCTGGAGATGGCGAGGGCAGGGCCAAGGCCATAAACATCTACCTCGACAACCTAGCCTGCCAAACGGGCGTGACGCGCTTCCTGGAAGACCACAGCGTCTTCTCTCCCAGCAAAATACCTCTCACTACCAATGCCGATGACGTTGGAAACACCGTATCCACCAACCTAGACCTCCCCCGCCGACGCTTCACATACAACAAATCCACCTCCCCGGAACTCCTGCTCGACCCCCTATTCTGGACGCACTTCGACTACGCCATCATGGAGCGGCCGGAGAAATGCATCGGGAAGTGGGAAATGGTATCCACGGTCTTCGCCTACGATGGCTTCCGCTTGTTAAGACCTGGTATACCATCATCATCATCGTCAAATACAAGTCCAGGGGACGAGGAAAGCGGATTGTTTATCAGTGGTGAAGGAGAAGATGGCGGAGTAAGGACGGTGAAAGATCGGGCGATAGATACAGTTGCGAGGGGTTGGAAGACGCTGGAGGCGCTGCTCCGCTACCCGCTCCTCCGCGGGTACTGGATCGAACTGCGCATGTCCCCGAAGCTCTACATACTGCGCCAACAACCGCACCAGTTCGCAGAGACGCCTCCATCCGATGCCGACGAATCACAGCTGCAGGATGAGCTTCATTAAGTGAATACATGTAGCCCGAATACCACGTCCTGCAAGAAAAGAATGATAAAGAAACGGTAAAACACGGGCCAAAAAATGTACTTGTACATGATGGCCGAAAGATGCCTGAGCCAATTCTGTATTCTCCATTCCCAATTCCATTCGCCTTGCCATATCCATTCCATTTCCTGGCTCCAATCCCCCCATATAGTACTAGGGCAAAAGCTGATAATGATGACAATAACAAACCTGTCAAGACTCCCATCTCCGACCGACATTGCCAGACCGGCCGGGTCCCATCCTTTCCCTTCAAATTCCGGATACTCATGCGCTGGCCTACCTCCTTCGCTCCTCCCTCGCAGACATCGTAGACAAGGCCTTCCACATTACAGCCCCATTCATCCCCTCAGCCATCAGTTTCACTTTAGTTACTTCGTTCCCGTTCCATTTCCTCTTCCTCTTCCTCTCCTTCACCGTCTTCGCTGTCCCCACGCGATTCCCTCGAAATACCCATCCCGTGGCCCGCCACGCCTCCCGAAAGGAGACTGTTCGCCTAGAACTGTCCCTCACCAGCACCACCATTATGCACTGGATACCCAAACGCCGTGCCATCGCCTACTCCCCCCATGCCGCCTCCCATGTCCGAATCCTGGCCGCCCATTTGTCCCATGCTGTCGCCGTTGAAGGCACCCCCAGAAGGTGCGCCTGGGTCTCCTGCGCCGGCGCCTTGGCCAGGGTTGCTGGCGCTGCCGCTCGCTTGGGCCGCGCTGCCACTGCCGGAGGGTTTGTTTTGGTTGTTTGAGAGGAGGGTCTGTGCGTTTGAGATGGAGAAGTCAGTTGTTGTGGCTGAGTTGGAAAGACTAGAACTTGCTGACGGTGGGTTGAGAAGAGCAGAACGAGCAGTGAATGGACCAGAAGGGGTAGAAGAGGTGGCGCTCTGCAGATCTGGTCTTGCGGAATTGAACCGAGCCCGGTCAACTGACGACTCCCGTTTAGAGTTTCCCAGCGAAGACGAGCGTAGGCCATCTTCGGCGGAGACGAGTCTGGCGAGCTTCTCCTTGACGTAGTTCTCCCTTGCACGTTTCTTTTCGGCGAGTTGCTCCTTTTGAAGATGATAAATCGAGAGATAAGAAGGGCACAAATGAGACGAATGAAAGTGGGAGAGAAACGGAACGAGAGGAAAGGAAGAACGAAGGAAGCAGGAAAGGAAACACCATGAAGAGCCGTATAGTATCTACTCACCTCGCGATACCTCGAAAGATAAATCTTCAGGGCTTCGGCATAGTTCTCGAAACCGAGCGACGTCATGGCGAACAGGATATCCTCGCCATTGACGGTTTTTCGCTTTTCCTGTTGGCATTTCTCCGATGCTAAGGGCGATCATCAGCATGTCATCCTCGTTGCTGTACCAGTCGAAGCTCACCTTCGCTTGTAATGAAGGAGATGAACTCGCTCACACACTCCTGCATGCACTCCTTGGCCTCCTTCGCAATCTTGGCATTTTCGGGCAAGGCCATCTTCATGATGCGGGCGACTGGAGCAAAGTTACGAATGTTAGCATCGCTGGCGGGATTACTGGTGGTCGAGGGGTTGTTCTTGGACGGGGACGAGGCGGACGTCTGGGGAGAGGAAGACGACATGTCGGTGTGGGGAACTTAGCTGCCTGCTGCACGGCGGATATTTTCCCGCCAGGTACAGTGCAGGACCGTTGGCGGACGGACAAGCCTCAGGGCAACGGCGGAAAAAGGGAACCAGTGTGATTCGACGCAGAAGCGCGCGACTGGGGGAAAAGGATGGTATTCGACGGCTTGCAGCAGCTCAGGGCCCGGCAAGTGTAGCAGTCCGTCTTGACGTGCAGGAGGGAAGCGGGATTCACGCGCAAATCAGAGAGCTCGGGAGGGGGAGAAGAAGAAAGGAAATGAATGGGTCACGCACCATTGGCGATGGGGAGCCAGCGGTCCTGCTCCTTGACTTCGAAGTCGTAGCCGAGTCCTTGCGTTTGTGTCTCCTGGGCTTCTCTGTCCATAGGCGGCGGGGGGTCGGAACCGTCAGGCGACTGAGCTTGGGGTTCCACGTCCCCCTTCTTTGGGGGGGTGGAGGACATGTTTATTCGGGTGGGTGCAGGGCTGCGAGGGTGGGATCGAAGGCGATTGTGCGCTGGCGCTTTGCGAGGTTATTCGCTGGCGGTCCACGTCACTGGACGGTGTAGGAAAAGGTGAGTGCTTGGCGGCCTGGTATGCAACCCACCGTGTAACGCAGCTGTCTGAGAGAGGAAGCGGTTAGCTTGAGCAGGAGGCGGGGATGCCGGCCAACATACGGGTCTCGTGTAATGCAGCAATGCAGCAATGCAGCAGGGCACGGCTTTGGGCTGGGGGAGGGCGCGCAAGGGGTTGGGATGGTATCTGTTCGCGAACGGTTCAGAGGTGGTGTTGGTGTGGTGGTAGCGCTACCGAGAGGTGGGGAGCTTGCCGTCTCCAACAAGCAGGGTGTAGTTTACACAGTATCTGTGGACGGGCGGTGATTATAGTGTGGGAGTCGTATAGAAGATGGTTGGACGAGAGGTAGACGCAGCAGCGCACACTGGGGGATTGACGGACGGGTGGGTGTCAGGGTCGAAGGCACAGCGTGTACGACGTCAGAGCTGCGCGTTGCAACGAAGGAGCTAAACTGTATGCGGTGTCAGTCTGCCAGCGGGCCAATTGTGGCGTGTACGGGCCGGTCGGGCAAGCTGCGAGCGATGGTGGTGGTGGTGGTGGTGAGGGCGATGTCGCGATGGGCAGCGAAGTGCAGGTGTAGTGTAGGGCAGTATGTTTGCGATGCAGGTGCGATCGATCGCGACAAGGCCAAAACGCGTGTCGGCGACCAATGGGGGAAGGGTGGGCAGCGCGGGAAGGCTCACCGGGATAGGAGAAGCTTTGGGGCGTAGAAAATCTTAAAGAAGGGTTTTAGAAGCTCACAAGCTTGGAGACAAGTTGCTGGCCAGTCAGGATGCGATCGCAAGTTGGATGCTTTGAGCTCGGGTTCCTTTGACGATAGCTCTGGTGGGGAGAAACTGAGGGATTGGAGGAAATCGAGGGAAATTGGGAGAAAATGAGGACTGAGTGAGCGAATGGAAACGGCCAGACAAAAGCAAAGTGCGGCCAGCCGAGCCAGTCACACGCGGCTGAGCATTAAACATTACCTCGAATTAATCAGCCAATCATGCGCCAGGACGACGGCGAGGTTGGATCACCCCACCGCCGAGCATCCACCATTCACTAATTCCCTCCAGTAGTATATCCCAGTAGGAATTGTCAAGAATAAAATGAGCCGGCTGGAGGATACACTGAACAAGTCACGAGAGAATTGCTCAGAAGCAGCTAAGGGAGAATTCACTCCTTGCAAGGGATGTCAGCCACCTCGCCGTCAGTGATGTGGCACTCTTCCCCCCCCCACTCTCCCTCCATCCATGGATCGGAAGCATCGGAATACAGTGCCACGCCATCATTCGGATACCTACACTGTAGTGAGGGCTGAGAACTGGAGTCGACAAGGCTGATGCACAGCCCAACACCATCAAATGCCCGCTGCACCATGTGCTGGCTTTCCGCCAAGTGTCATCGACCCTGCAGTGGGCCACAGCAACATCTTGATGCCGTACCTTTTCCACGTGTACGGGAACGCTGCTCATAGGGTACCGTCTAGAAAGCACTGAGAGAAGTTCGTGGGTTGAGGATTTGGGTGGTGCGTTGCGAACTGGAGGGGAGCGCAGATGACCGTGCGGGAGCGAGGGAGGCTTCAAATGCTGTCAGTGTAGGATGATGAATTGACGTGATATGTGGCTTTTTGGCAGGACATGTAGTGCGTCCTGACCACGTTGTCTGCTACAACATGTACAGGCACGGACGATCAGATTCACTAGCAGATGGACAGCAAAGACGCGAGGATCAGGGTTCGATGCAAGGACATTAGCAGACTTTTGAGCTCAATGTTTCGTATTCTTCCGTCATTTGCGCTGCGGCATAAGCCGCAGGGTGCCCACTACCTTGTGTGGTTCTACAAAGGAGTCTCCCCAGGAGTTTCATATCTCCACGCGTCTGCCCCTGTACAGCAGGGCAACGATTGTGTTCCCAGATGCCGTGCTTCCCATACCTTCTCTCATCCCACTTTCGTGGCGGGGCTCCTCTCAGGCTCCGGATTCCATTGTAGTGGAGCCTTGCCTCGCCATGTTGTTTCATCAATATCAAGGTTACTCCGCCACGTGTGACGCGCCTCTGTCCTCCATCCTCTCAATGCTTCTACTGTCCAGGCTGCTGGACAACCTGAATATTGTTCTTCTTCTATACACGGAAAAATGTGTTAGCCGCTGCAACCTCAATACTAGACGTCTTCCTTCCAATCACAGACCGTTCCAAAGGGATGGCAGGTAACCGAAACAACGGGAACCGGGAAACTGACCTTCCACTTCTCCATCTCGTCCTGCTTGGCCTTATACTGCTTGACCAGCTCCTCGAGCGTCTTCTTCAGCCCCTCCGAGTTGGTCTGCAGGATGGGCACCACTTCCTTGACCGTGCGCTCCGTCAGGACACCGTTGATCATCCGGAAGCATTTGCGGTCACCGGGGAGCGGTGTCAGGGTCTCGAGGACGAGTCTGGCAGCATTGGTTAGGGGAGAGCCTAGGTAGAAATGAAGTAATGGTAGTGTGACGGGAAGAGAAGGGAAAGATAGGGATGAGCACGTGAGGTAGAAAAACTAAGTGATTTAACGGTAGTAAAGGAATGACTCCCAGAGGAGAGAACGTAACGAACTGCAGAAGAATGACGATATTGATAGACAGCAGCACAGCAAACACGAGAGCAGAAAAGACCAACTGAAAACTTACTTGTGCTCCTCAGCTTCCTGCTCGATATCCCCAATCTTCTGTGCGAGCGTCTGCAGCGTGCTCTTATAGTTGCCATATGTATTCTGCAGCTCTGGCCCCCATCAGCTTCTCATTTCCTTTGCGATTCTGGGACCTATGTTCGATATGGGAGATGTTCTTGGATGAGGAAGAGGGAATAGCAGCTGTAGCATACATACCTTGCTGCTTCTTCAAGGCAGCCTGAGACGCCATCCTAATCCCAAACCTCTGTGTCTCACCCACGGAGAATGGTTATCGACTCGGCGATAGGCAGTGTTTTCTCAGTATTAGGACTTTGGTGCGGGGGACTTCGGAGGTGTAGTCGAAGGTCCGCCAAGCCTCACTGCGGAACTTCGTGGCAGAGCTTCCTTCAACTTCACGACTCCTACATTCGCTGTAACTCCTCGAGTATCCCACTCTAAGGCCGGAAACTCTCAATTGAGCTTCCAGTAGACCATCCCAAGAACACACAAAGTCCCTCCACCGCAACCCATCCAAGCGCACCGCATTCACACCACCTACCACCACCAGCACCATGCATCCCCACCTCCACACCGTCGAGAACCAAACCGGTACTTTCCCCCTTCTACCCCCTCGGCTTGGGTGGTAAACTTGCAAAAAGCTAGTCTGACTCCCTCTCAGCCTGCGCAGAAGTCATCCGCATCCTCGACGAATGCTACGCCCGCGGCTTCCTCTACAAACTGACCGGCAGCTGCACCGACGCCAAACTCGCCGTCAACAAGTGCCTGCGTGCGCAGCGGCTGGAGCGCTCGCGGTTGAATCGCGAGGAGGCGAAGCAGAAGAGGCAGAAGATTGAGGCCGCGTGGAGGGAGATTGATGAGAATTCGTGATTCCTTTGCTCAAGAGAAGAAGAGAGGGAAGGAGAGGAGGCGGACGTGTATGATGCTAATGGTGGATGAATGTTTGAGTAGAGGGAAGGAGTTGGCGATATACTGTTTTACTGCATTGGGAGCGGGTTTGGAGTTTTTAGCATGGGAGACAATTCACTGGAGAGGCTATTTGCTTTGGAAAATGTATATTATATTTATAGGGTATCCATGCTCTGCCTCAGGGTAAATCATATTACAGGCTCGATCATCTTCCTTCAGCTACTCATCGTCACTCTCCACCCTTGACAGTCCTCCCGCGGGCGTTGCCCCAATACTCTCCAACCCCCTTGCACTTCCAGGCGTCGTTCCCAGGCTATCCAGTCCTCGGTTCACGATGATCTTTCCGGTCTCATCCATCCCATTCACCGCTGCGACCATGCCCGCTTCTATCCTTAGGCGCTCGTACTCTTCGCCCGTCTCCTGGAGCTTCTCTTGTACGTACTTCTGTCGGTCTGCAATGCGCACCTTTTCTTCTCGCACCTCTTGCAATTTCTGGAAAATCATATCGCGGTGTTGTCGTTTGGCTGTTACGTCCGCTTGGAGAGATTCCAGGACCTCGCTCAAATCGGGAAGAGGCGTTATCCGTGGTGGAGTTCGAGCGCCTTCGTCCTCCTGGTGCTCTTTCCTTCCATAAGCGCCTGCGCGTGTCTGCGCAGCTTCATACGCAGCGTTGCGCTCTTCTTCCGAATCCGATGGACCCTCCTCGTCCGATCCTCTCTCAGCCTGGCTGATCATCTCTGCCATTTCCGCTCGACGCCGCCTCTCTGCTTCGCGCTCTGCCTTCCGGCTCAGCGATATCCTCCCGTCTTCCACATACTCCTCGAATCCCTCAGCGATGTCTTCATCATCTCTCACGAGCCTCGTCTCCGCGTACTTCTCCTTCTCTTTTGGGCGCAGTGATATCTCATTCCGCATCGTGCGGAACGCATCCGAATCGTCCGACGCCCAAGGCTCCTCCTCATCATCCGCCGCAGCGAGCTGCTCCTTCGCCAACCTCGCCCTCCTAGCCTTCTTCTCCTGGATCTCCGCCGCCGTCGGAATCAGCGACACGGGTTCCACTGGCGCAAGTGTCGCGTCGGGCCCAAACTTCGACGCAATATCTATTGCTCTCGTCTCCTCTTCCGCCTCCCCTCCAGCCGACGGTACCAAATCCCTGGGCGTCGACGGTGTCGACTTCTTCAACTCCTCCAAATAATCCTTACTATAACTCGGCCTTTCCTCCTCCCTTGCACGTCCAATATCCGGCACAAGCGGCGACCTCGCCCTCCTCTCCGCATTCTTCTCCATCGCCACACGGCTCAGACTCGTCTTCTTCGGCGTCACCACCGCGCTATCGCTTGCCGCGCCGCCATCATTCCTTCCTTCGTCCGATTCCCCCGCGCCAAACGATATCCGTAGGGAAGAGCGCTTTCGGCTCTTCGCGAAGGTGGGTCGCTTTACGACGGGTTCTGATGAAGGGGCTGTGAGGAGTTAGCGCGGGTTCCCTAGGAGTGTCAGAAAACAGGATTATCTGATGATTTTGTGCTTGGGTTGGGGAGAAAGGGCTTACCTTTTGAGGTGGGTGCGCTTTGCGTGCTGTCGGAGGGAGAGGTGGTGTCGTTGTCGTCTTCGTCGTAGGCGCCGATTTTGCGCGCGACGCGGCCGGAGCCTGTTCGTCTCATTGTGGAATGAGGCTTTGTTCCGCGTGGAATGAGTCGATGGTTTGGCCGCACTTTCGTATGTGACAGGCTGGGAGAACTGTGAGATTGCTGGTATTCAAGGTAGGTTCCGCAAGCGGTGATGTCGAAAGTGAATATCTCTGCGCACGGACCACCTTCGGCCTGCGGCTTGCAGCTAGGAAAGGCTTCAACCACAACGTTGACCATCTCCACCGCACTTCTATCCCAACCGACGCCGCACCGCGTTTTCCGCCCAGAACCACCGACAAGATGCCTGCCGCACAGCCAGAACTCAAGAAAGTACGTACCTTTCCACAAATTTAACGTGAAAAGTAGCGAGTCGCATCATACCGCAAGCCAGAGATTCTTCAATTACGCAGCGGTAGCGCTAACGAGAGACGCAGTACCTCGACAAGCGCGTCCTCGTTCAGCTCAACGGCAGCCGCAAGGTCATGGGCCTGCTCCGCGGGTACGACGTATACCTGAACATTGTGCTCGATGAGGCGCTGGAGGAGAAGCCGAGCGGGGAGAAAGTCCGGATCGGCATGGTTGTGATTCGAGGGAACTCTGTCGTTATGCTTGAGGTACGGTTTTGGTCCTGGGCTTGAAGAGTGAGGTTGGGCTGACGCGTGTAGGCATTGGATCGTATTCACCATGAGGAACCGAGACCTGGAAGATAGAGATCCCATGGCCAATGGACGACTCCTTATTCAGATGAGGTAAACGAACATCGAGCTTGGTGTATGGCGGCACGGCGTTTGAGGGAAATTCATTCTGGGTAATTGCCCCTCCGGCTTCCATTCTACAATAGATGGTCTGCGCGAGGATACAGGCATGGGGCCGATATGGTGTGCACCGAATGTTGACATGACTATGTCTTATAGGGTCGAAGTATGACATGATACCACACGGCGACCATTGCGAATGCAGCATTGAGACGGGTATAGGTTCTATAAAAATCACCGCGGAACAGCAAAGGATAAATCTACACTATAATCTCGCCTTCTCGTGACTCCTCTTGAACTCTTGCACCAGATCCCACGCCACCTCAGCGAACGGCGCCATCTGCGCGCCAAACTCATGCGCTTTCGCGCTGCTGGCCTGTCGCAGAGCATAACGAGCTGCGATACCCTGCATGATGATGGCGGAGCGGTAGGTTCCAAAGGCGTCGCCCCAGGTGATGTCCGGCCGCGGGTCCCACCCAGCTACTTCCGAGTACCACGATATTAGCTGGTCCTTAGTAGGGAGGCCGGGCGTCGCGCCTGGCTGGAAGGCTACGTTGGCACGACCTATAGCCAAGGCCTTTTGGGAAGACGCTGTGACGTAGGGAGCAAGGAGGTTGACGATGTCGGAAAGGGGATGGCCAATGGTGGACATTTCCCAGCTACCCCAACTGTAAGCACCTGCATAGAAGCTCCGTCACTGGGACCTACTCACTCAAGGATACCAATCACCCGCGGCTCCGTCTTGTGGAAGATAACGTTATCGATCTTGTAGTCTCCGTGCACAAAGCTGCTCCTGTCCTTGGGCTGCAGCTTCGGATCACTGAAGAAAGCTACCATGTCGTCCTGGTGGGGGATCTTGCCAACAGGGATGCCCGTGTCCTTGTCAACTGCTGCGGCTTGCGACTTCGAGATGGTGTTGAAGGTGGCTATTTGGCGATTGTAAAATCCGGAAGGCTTGCCGTAGTTCTCCATGCCCACGTCCTTGGGGACCACGCGGTGGAATTTGGCAAGCGTGGTAATGGCCGAGTGCCACCTATCACCGTAGTCAGCCATTTTGTCCTCGTATGCCACACGCCCAACTATCCGAGGGCACTTGGAAGGCTCACATCTTTGTCCTCTCCTCGGGCGTAACCTCCGGCATAGCAGGGTCCTCGAATATCCTTCCATCCAAGAACTCCATAATGTAGAAATCGGTGCCAATCACCTTCTCATCCTGGCACAAGCAAATCGCCCTGGGAACGGGGACGTCCGTCTTCTCGAGCGCATGAATGATCCTATACTCGCGGTCGACCTTGTGGGCCGTCTTGGACAACAACTGCCCGGGAGGCTTCTTCCTCATGACAAACTTCTTGCCATTTTTGTCTGTTAATTGGTACGTCGGGTTGGACTGGCCATAGCCAAACTAGCAATAGCATTGTCAGCACTCCTGGTCTTCCTGCGTCGCAGTGTTCGTCGGCTTACCTGCTTGATGTCGACCGGGACGGCAATCTCGGGGACGTTGGAGGCAATGTAGCGCTCGAGAGAGGCTAGGTCAATGGGCTGTCGTACTGCTCCGGCCATGATTTCTTGGGCAGCGAAAGAGAAAGGCTCGTGTCATGGAGGGGCGCCATGTTTTGTACATGATGCTGTGGGCGGGATGGGGGAAGCATTTGCCTCGGCACCAGGAGCTTGGGCGAGTCAAAAGCCGACCGGAGGAGTCGGGGGATGTGAGGGCGGCGTTCCAACGTCAAGAATATCATTGCTTTTTATTTAGGAGCCAGATGAGGCAGATGAAGCCCGAATTTGCACAGTTGACAAGTGTACAGTATTGATGAAGTCGGCCCCGTGGAAGGGAGCCCTGGAGTGGAGTGGAAGCCCATTGAGCGATCACGTGATTGCGCGTTTCACTGCAGGTGGTGATTCCGGATTCGCTTGAGGTTGAGCAGCTCCCAGACAATCCGATATACAATAGTCTTTCTAGATCCTTCAAATCGATTCAATAACCCTCTTAAGACGAAGGTTGGCCACAAGTGCCATGTTTATCGAGGAACACCAAACCAGACTTTCTCAAAATGTTGCCCGGAAGCCTCGTTTCATTTCTCGCGAACTATCTTCTAGGATGAACAGAAACTGCGGGGTTTGCCGATGTCGAGTCTCATATAAAGAAGCAAACATTGCAGACACTGAGCCAACTAAAGGGTAATAATCAGGCCTCGGGATGATATCGACCAGGATGTCACCTTGTTATTCAATGTTTTGGTCCGCCACCTTCGTGATAAATACAGGTTATTGATACGCTTACTGTTCGAGTTTCCAGGGTCACCAGGGTGGCTTTGGCATTCATTGCCTGGTGACGTTCTATCCTGGTCGAGACAGGAGCCGGGAGGCGCGTCGACAATGACTCTATTATGTTGTAAGTACTGTATAGTTAACTCCCCGGATCGAACACAAGTGTTACTGCACGGTGCACACTGCTATGCGTACGCATTTGAGGGCAATACGGGGTACGGAGTGTTCTCTGTACTTGAGACCACTTCGACGTGGTTCCAACACCTGGGCAGGCGCCACATCTGCGCCACACCCGGTTTGAGACGGGATCCCTGCTTGGGCGCGGACAGCCTTCCGTCCCCAGACTCAACACAAACAAACCCGCTCTCTGTGCGACCAGGTTCCCGTACACTTAAGTACACTAGCAGGCAATCCCGGGCCCAGGATGTCCTTCCAAACACCGCGACGGCTGGGCCCTCCACGTCCAAACCACTCCCTCAGCGCCGCCGCGTCGTCCCCTAACTTGGCCCTCTCTGCCAGCGCGGCCATTGCGAGAAAAGCCTCCCTGAACGCCTTGGTGGGAGTTAATACTACGCCGACGAACAATATGGGTGGTGATGGCCAAGAGATTGAGGTGGGCGATCTTGTTGACGTTCCTGGGGGCATGCATGGAACTGTCAAGTTCATTGGCAGTGTTCGGGGGAAGAAGGGTGTTTTCGCAGGGGTTGAGTTGAGCAGAGAGTTTGCTGCTCGCGGGAAGAACGATGGCGATGTGGATGGGTAGGTTGCTTCAATGTTTGTCGTACAAAAGCATGATTTGACCTTGTTTACAGAACCCAGTACTTCACTACATCCACCCCTGGATCCGGCATATTCTTACCAATACATCGCGCAAGGAAACGGAGCTCCATGTCGTCCGAAGGATACAGTCCGACTCCCACAACACCTTCTTATCGGAACAACTTCAGCGTCTCCACCACAGATAAGCCGAACTACAGCCCGGCGGATACGCCCTCCATGCCTAGATTTGCCCAGTCAGTGGGGCCAGGTGCTCGAGCACCAAGTCCTACATTCAAACCTACAAGCCGGCCATCGATACCACGCCCGGAGTCTCCATATCGCAAGCCAAGTCTGGCGCCTACCCCTGGAAGGAATACAGGAAGGGCCACGCCGTCTGGACTATCCAAGAGCATGGTCGGTCCACCGAGGTATACTAGTCCTGCTCCGAAAGGTCCCAGCTTTCAGAAACCGCGAACGCCGGGCCCGCCACGGCCGTACTCTCGCAATAATTCGCGGCTGGGTCACCATGATACCATCGACGAGGATGGGGAGATTGCCCCCTTAGCAACTGCAAGAGGAAGTAACGGCTCATTGTCGCCTAGTAAAAGTCGACGAACGACTTCAAACTCGGCCGAGGAGGAGATAGAACGGCTCAAGAAATTACTCGAAGAACGGGACAAGCAGTTGAGCGCACAAGCTGCATCGTTGGCGGATATGGAGGCAGGACTGGCGGAGATCCAGAACCTCATGCCAGATGAATCTGGACGTTCACGCGGCAGCATCGATGAGCCCGCTGACGTTGCTCAGTTGCGGGCTCTCCTTCGCGAGAAGAATGAGAAGATTGCAATGCTCACCGCAGAGTTCGATAACCACCGTGCAGATTTTCGTAACACCATAGATACGCTCGAGATGGCTAGCACTGAGACTGAACGCGTCTATGAGAGGAAGCTGGAAGAGTTACAAAACGAACTTCGAGAGCTCCATGAACGAAGTGAGGATGTCGAGAGCGTGGCAATCCAACTAAAACAACTTGAAGAACTTGTCCAAGAGCTGGAAGAAGGACTTGAGGATGCTAGAAGAGGGGAAGCAGAGGCACGAGGGGAAGTCGAGTTCCTGCGAGGGGAGGTCGAGCGGGGCCGGTCCGAGCTCCGGAGAGAAAGGGAGAAAGCAGCGGCAGCGTTGGAAGGCGCTGGCGCCATGGTAAACGGTCCCATGAGTCCTGGTCTGAGAGAGGTCGAACAGAGAGACGACGAGATTCGTGGACTGAAAGCCATTATTCATTCGTTAAGTTCTGGCCCCGAGGACCGTGGCCGGTCGCCCATGCATCTGGGAGGGCCAGCCGTCGACCTGGAGGAGCTGAAGGCTGTACGAGCTCAAGTCGAACGGCTGGAACGTGACAAGGAAGAGCTACGCGGGCTTGTTGAGCGTAAGGCGTACAGGGAAGAGGAGCTTGAGCGAGAAATCGAGAAGTTGAGGAAGCAACTTGGGGAGCAGCGAGAGAGCATCATCAGCAACGGCATGTCGGAGCGTACCATCATCGCAGACAACCACCCATCTGAAAGAGATTCCAAAGGAACCATTGTCAGTTGGAGAGGATCACCGCAGGCCAAGCGCTCCGATGCTCGTTCGGCGCTGGAGCCCATGATGGAGTCCGATGCTCACTCTTCCGCAGACGGCAGTGTGCTGTGGTGTGAGATTTGCGAGACTGGCGGACATGATATTCTCAACTGCTCGGCCATGGGTAGCGACGCAGCAATAAGGTCACAACCGCCTGGGAAACGTATGGGCAAGGAGGCGGTAATCGAGGGACTTCGCAACCTCTCCATCAACTCGGATCGTTCCCGCCCGCCGACCTTGACGCCCACAAAATCGCCTGGCAATGCACCATCGGCGCCACCTCCGCCTCCATTCAACCTGAAAGCCAGTCCCAACAGCCAGGGCAACTCCGGGCTTGTACCTCCAAAGGGCGGCGCCGTCGCTGATCCGGACAAGTGGTGTGCTCTCTGTGAGAGTGAAGGCCATGATGTGACGGCCTGTCCGAATGAAGATGCATTTTAGTTGAATTGCTTCTTTTTCTTCAAGATATCCATAAGTGCTTGGAAGGGTTCTTATTTAGGGAAGGCAAATCTTAGCTCGCTTTAACTATTTTATCTTTATTTCTGATTGCACACCGAACGGAGCTAGCCCTGGAGGAGAAGAATCGCCGCAATCCGCGCTAACCGTAAGTGGAAAGCAACAAGATACTTGTCTGCCCCGCCTTGAATCCCCACCACAACACAACTGTGCCCATCGTGCGAACTATAGCAGCTCAAATCGAACTTATTAAAGGGAATCTACGTTGGACCTGTGTCGGATACCTTTTCAATGGCCGAACCAACAGCATACCCGAAAAAAGTGTTATACTGTGGAGGTACGCGCTTCCTTTTGACAGCTTCACTTCGCATGCTAACGAACACAGTGTGCAGTTTACCACCTGAAGTAGGTAGGAAGTCGGGTGTGAATCCTAAAGCCACATCTCCTAACCCAAGTTTTCAGTACTGCGAGTTCGGCGGCACAGTGAAAAAGTGCGAAGAATGGCTGAAATCCAACCACCCTCACCTGCACGAGAAGCTGTACTCACAAGGTACACCATCTACATCTCCTTCCCCTGCTCTACTTCTGTAGTAAATCCAAGACCACTTTCTAACCTTCCCACGCGCCACAGAAGCCCTCGAGCAAAACCTCTCCTCCCTCTCCCTCGAGGCCCAAAAACGCGCCGAAAAGGACGCCCAAAAGAAAGCCGCCAAAGCCGCGTCCGCCGAAGCAAAAGCGCAAGCCGAACGCGCCAGCAGCAAAGTCCTCATCAAGCGCATCGAGCGCAACAAGCGTAAATACGTCACCGCTGTGCAAGGGCTCGAACACTTCGGCCTCGATATCAAGAAAGTGGCCAAGGATTTCGGCAAGAAGTTTGCAACGGGGAGTAGTGTGACACGGATTCCAGGAGGAGGGGAGGAGATTACGGTGCAGGGGGATTTGAGCGATGATATCTATGATTATGTGATAGAGACGTATAAGGACGTGCCGGAGGATAATGTGGAGTGCGTGGAGGATAAGAAGAAGAAGGCTGCGGGTTGATAGCGCGATTGAGGATGTCGCATGGGCGGTATAGTGGAACGGTTGCGATTTCGATATCCGAATGTACCCGGTCCTTTTGGAAGGGCATCTGGGCCAGCTGAACATGCCTAGAAGCTGGATCATACGCAGCACATGCGGAACAACACCACGATTAGTCGAATTGGTCCACTTCGAGGGTGCCTCACAGTAACACGGTATATCAGAGTTTCGAGTGATGCTGTACATAGGTGCGATCGCTCTTTCGAAACTAGTGCGGTTAGGTATTAGCAGCCTCCAACATACTTTATAAACCACATTTTAAATGTCACAATGCGAGAGAGATAGCATCTCTCTTCCTGAGCTGTACACAAAAGAAGCACAGCCACGTGTCCAGCCACAGCAGAATACGTACGCCAAGCAATGCGGCTCGGCGCCGTCCCAGGCTCCCAGGCTTCGATTTTTGCCTAGACCAATGGAAGCCTAGCGCCTTCTTTAAAAGCAGACCTCAAGATTGTGGTCTCATAACTTCTGTCGCAAAAGCAAACTGCAGGCAGGTCTATTTCTGCCTTCATTCGAGTGTCTTCCAAGCGCGCAACAGGACTGAGCGAGATCCCCTGAACTCCGACGTGGTCCGCCTAAGGAAACGAGAAGGGACAAGCAAAAGAGGAGGAAGTAAGACCGAAGAAGGTTGGGACTGGAAGAAGACGGGACGGGACGAGGTGGTCATCAAAGGAGGGGAAGGATCTCGATTGAAGAGAGGACATTGTTAGAGGAAGAGGAGGACCCTGGGTAAAATTAAAGCTGTCGCTACTGGGAGGAAGTGGAAGGGCGCGAAAGGCCTGGATAGAGCGTGATGAGCTAGGAACCGACTCAGACACCAGTTTACATACGCGCGGAGCTGGCCGTCTATTCAACGGCGATATATAAATTGGGAACGTTTGGTGGGACCCTGAGAATTTCACTCTCACAGTGAGGCGCGAGGCGGGAGTGCTGGTGAACGAATCGAGGGCCTTTCACCGCCGCCTTCGGACCTGCAACCTTTACGTTATAGATACCCGCGACAAATCTCCACTGACCGTACGCTCGCGCAAAGTTTCCGCACACGTGCGCGCACTCGGCGGCACGAACACAACTGGAGTTTACGACCACTTCTATAAATCCTCGCGCAACCTCTCACACACCCACTTTCACGCAACCTCACTCATATAACCAAACTCGCCCAACCACAAATCCACACCCATACTCATACAGTCACGCTCACGTAACTCGGACCACACCATACCCACCATATCCACACCGCGACGATGGCGCCTCCACGTACTGGCGGGATTCGCAAGAAGGTGAAGAAGGACAAAAAGACCTTACAGCCTGACCGCGACGGCGACCTTTCGATGGGCGCCGCCCCTACACCCCAACAGCCACAACGCCCAAAGTCGAGTCTTGTCGAGCTTCGAGTCACCGGCTGGACCGCCGAGGACGACGTCCCACGTATCGTTCAGTTTCTCAATCGGCACGCATCCAAGCGGAAAGGTGGTCCAAGGCAAACTGGTGGCCCAGCGTCGCTTGCCCCTAACCTGATCAAGTCTTCTCGAACCGCAGATGGCGTACTCATCATTCGTGTTCGACAAGACGACGTGCCCGCCTTTGGAAAGATCAACAACTTCCAATTCACATCAACCAACGGCTCACAGAAGCTCGCAATATCAGGTCCCGGAATCCGCGCAAGTGAGAAGGCAGTGGACGCCGAATCATCTACCCTAGACAAAGCCGCGAAGGATGCGTCCACCGGTAAAGAAGGGCTCATGGAGCTTCTCAAGGGGTTCCTCGAACGGAGATATGACCCGTCCCAGAAGATGTTGAATCTCTCGAACATCGCCAGCGATGAACAGTAAGTGTGCTGGTAAGTAGTGATGTTAAATACAGAATCGCTCACAAAGGTAGAATATCGGAGATTGGCATGTTCACCACCACATCAAGGCGCGCGAAGTTCATGCCCGCCCTCATGGTCGCTGTGGACAAGGCACTACCGACCCGGGCTGCGAAAGCCGAAGCTATTGTAAGCGTGTCTCTGAGCAACAACGGACTTCCCGACCTATCTCTGGTGTCCGAAGTTGCGCGAACACTTCCTGATATCAAGAATCTCGACCTGTCAGGGAACGAACTTTCGGATCCCTCCGCATTGGGTCCCTTCAAATCGAGACTGCGGAATCTCGGCGAGATTGTCCTAGCCGGTAACCCCCTTCAATCCCAAGAGGGTTGGCAAGACAAAGTCACGAAGTTCTTCCCCCGATTACGTCTACTGGACGGGGTTCAGGTGCGCACGGAAGCCCAGATTGCGCGTCTGGATCAACCCAAGGAAGTCCCGATGCCTTCAGCATCTAACTTATGGATCGACCCGCAGGGGGTTGCACAAGCATTTGTCCTCGATTTCATCAAACTCTTCGATGAAGATCGCACCACGCTAATACAACGGTGGTATGATGGCGAATCCACCTTCCAAGTCAACGTCAATGCCCGAGCACGCGGCGGCGCAGGCAGCTCACACGACAGGACACCATGGGACTCGTACCTCCAGCAGAGCCGAAATATTCGTATCATCCGCAACAAGCGGGCACGATATTCCCGAAAGGCCAAAGGCCCGTCCCAGATTTCCGAAGCCTTCGCCAAGATCCCACCAACGAGGCATCCGTTGCTGGAATCCGACGCATACAACTTGTCCTGCATTCCCCAGCCGAACTGCCCGGATCCGACAGGCCAATCCGTAGTGGGAGTCACAGGCTGCCTTATCAATCTCCAGTCACAATATGAGGAACATCGAACCGCGAAGGGAGCCGACCAAATTGTTCGCCGCGCCTTCGAACGTACCATCGTCCTCGCTCCCGGTGGCCCTTCGGGCTGGCGCATCATCTCCGACCTTCTATCCCTGCATGCCGGCGGTGGCACCCCAGCGTGGATTCCTCAAACCACCATCAACCCCATTGAGACTCCGGTTCCCGCTCCCGTCCCAGCTGGCGCAGCGCCTGCTGCCCTCCCATTAGGGCTCACTCCAGAGCAGCAGGCGATTGTGATGCAGGTACAGGCTGATACGAGGCTCAAGGCGGACGTTGCCGTCGATCTCTTGACGCATGCCAATTGGGACATCTCGGCTGCAGCGGCCTTGTTCCAGGAACGGCTTCACTTGATTCCGCCGGAGTCGTTTGAGGGCCCTGCGCCTGTGGTTAATGGGGGCAATTTATGATATCCATACCGATGGTTCTGGATGGGACGAAGGATATTTTTGAAGGGTCACATGTTCGGGAAGGGATGTCACTTCGATTTGCCAGGGAGAAGTGATCACATTGAGTCTACTTTTGAACGACGGGAAGGACGAGGGGGGATTGCACTGAACGCACATGGTTCAATGACATGATTCTGGGCAAATCTCCGAGACCTGGTTTTGGTCGGCGTGGATTGTGCATCATAAACATCACACCAATACTCGTTTCAACGAACGAGAATCTCAATTTGGGATACCGGGGCTTGGAAAAGGGGCTCTGAGAGAGCGGTACAGGGTGCTGCATCAGTGTGTACTGCCTGTCGGTGCATTTCTGCTAGAAGAGCGCATATGACGCGAAGAACTGTGGATATTATTATTATCAATGAAACTTCGGAGGCATCAGGTCTCTGGCAGGTATTGTACAATCTCTTGACTTGCAACGGTGATGTGCATCATGTGGTGTTCCCATCATTTTTATTGAAGACGTGGAGTTGATTGTGTAGAGACGGAACGCTAGCATTGCTATAGATAGGATCAAACTATGCAACCGTGACAAAACAAGACAGTAAGTTAACGGGATATCTGCACCACAAAACAGTGACCCTGAGGTCCTCTCAATTCTTCCAAAACTGTTCACTCTAGGCTATCAATTCTATGCGTCTAATCCCACTCCCCACGCCTACATCTTCGCCGCCTGCCTCAGCACCTCGGCCGTCAACTCCTCCCCTTTAACCCTCTTCTCACTAAACCGCCCCATCTGAATGAGTCGCCGGATCAGCTCCTCGTCGCCGAAATGGCTGTTATGTTCGAACTCGGGTTCCTCGCCGTAGGCGACCCGCGCCGCGTCAACGAGGATGCGCGCAGTCATGCCGAAGACGCGGAACGTGGTGAGGGAGTCGAAGGGGAGTGGGGATGGGGAAGGGTCGTCGCCTTCGGGAATGTGATGTCTGGATGTTGTGGAATCCACTTGTTGGGGAGTGGAGGAATTGGGGGTCGTCTTGCGCGCGTCTTCTTCTCCGTTTGATCGAGGTGTGGCATTCGCATTCGCATTTGCCTTTGCAGTTGAGGTATTCGGTTCCACGGTTCCAGATACACTCTGCTGCCGCCTCCCTTCTCCATCCCCCTTTTCTTCCCCTTTCACACGAACACCCGGCCGAGGGATGTAGAAATTATGCATCCGCCACCGACTCTCATGCCAATCCTGCCACGACCCGCGATACCAGCTGTGCCTCGCACCGCTCTTCGTCAACGGCCCCGGCCCCCGCGACTCCCAGTTCTTCTTAAGGAAATTGTGGAACGGGGCCGTGAAGACGGCAGCGACTTCCTTTGGATCGAGCCTAGGGATCATTTTCTCCTCCACTGCTGCTGCTGCTCTTGCGTCCTCGCTCCCTCCTGCGGTAGTGCCACTACTGTTTCCATTTCCATTTTCACTGTTGGAGTAGGAAGTCGAGGGGCCCAGGAAGGCGACGCAGGGGCGCACGCCCAGCTCGGTTCTCGCCATGTTGGTGGGCATTTCGCAGAGGTGCTCGATGAGGAAGCCCGGCGGGAGGGTGTCGTCGTCCTGTGGGAGGCCGATTTCTTCGTAGGCTTCGCGGCGGGCGATGGTGAAGGGGGTTTCGGTGAGGGAGTCGGCTTTGCCTGTGATGAGGCATGTTAGCGGACGAATGAGTACCTTCAATAGGCCTTGCTTGTAGGATCGTAGTGTTTTTATCTCGATAGGAAGAAGATTGGCAAGGACACACCTCCTGGTAATGCGGCTTGTCCTGCGTAGCTTCGGAGCGTGCTCGCGCGCATGGTGAGGACGACTTTGAGTTCGCCGTGGCGGTCCGGGAAGAGGAGGATGAGGACGGCGGCGCGCCGGGAGAGCGGGCAGTTATACCATTGTGTGGGTGGTGGTTTGTATGCGCGCAGGCGGGCGAGGGCTTGCTATGTCATGTCATTAGGGGTCATGAAGTTTCAAGCTTTCAACTTGGGGAAGGTGGAACAGAAATGGATGGATGAGTCGGCTTACCGCAGAGGATTGTGATAACATCATCTCTGCATCCGGGGAGCGAGTGGATTGGTTGTAGGGGCGCGCATGGTGCCGGATTCTGTGGGGAGAGTTTGGGTGGTTGGCGGAGAGCTTGAGAGTCGGAGGGGTTGATGTCATGACCGAGGCATAAGTTGGTGTGGGGGGCCGGGGGGTTGGGCAGGCATGGCGGAGGGGAGAATAGGATTGGGGCATGTAGGAATGGTTCGGAAATGGAAATAGATTCTATTTACTGTTGAACATGGTGGTAGCAATTGGTGGAGTGGTGGAGTAGTGGCTGGTTGAGGGCAGTCATGGTTGCTCAGATAGATGTTGTATGAGGTGCGTTTATCGGGGAACTCAAATGCAAGCAGCCCAGTTTGAAGAAGCTGAACGAAGTTGATATGATACATGTAAGAGTATTAAGTGCTCAAGGCACTTCAGCATCATCGTCATCGCCTCCAAACCCGAAGCTGAAGCCGCCGGACTCCTCCTCATCAGCCTTAGTGAGCTCCTCCCACCTACCCCTACCCTTCTTACTCTTACGCTCCAATTCTTGCAGACCCTGCTCTAAAATATGGGGATGTGCCTCTTTGAGCCTCTCAACAAACAGCTCGTATGCACGGTCGCACACATCCTCTCTGAAGCCGCTCACTTGGTCCCTCTGATCTCGCAAAAACCCTAAAACATCAGACAAACGCTTCTTCGGCACAAAGTTCTGCGTCAGAGCCAAACTGTCTTCGAGATTCAGAACCAGGTGAAACCAGCCAGATGGGACGTGCAACACTTCGCCGGCGTAGCAGACGCCTTCACGGCAACCCGGAGTCCGACGAGCAAGAGCATGGAAAGTGAGCAGATACTCTGCGATCGAAAGTGGGGATGTGATCTCCGAGTGGTCCTCGGAAAGTATGACCCCAGGAGGTGGGGGCAGCGAGGGCGAGGACGGGAACATGAGCCAGTACTTCGAGCCGGTCAAGACACCGTTCCACGCACACGTGGCGTTGGGGTCCTTGTGGAAGGTCGAACCACTCCTCTTCGGGCCCATAATCATCCATCTACAGTCTGGTCTTAGGTCCCCTAGGACATCAAAGAGGTCCTCGCCGAAACAGTCTGGCGGCCAGTATGCTGCATCGGGGGCCTCACGGCCGACTTTGATGCCTGTCTTCTCGGCAAAGGCACGGTCAAAGACATATAAGGGGCTTTCGTCGGCGTTGTCGTACATGTAGTCTATGTACTTTCTGGTTGGCCAGTCGACGGCTTCGGCTCGGAATTTGACATCGGGGTACTTCTCCAGCAAGGTCTGGGGTGTCCAGGATCCATATACAGGCCACTCTTTCACAGGCGATGTTAGGATGAAAGGCTTATTCGTCCAGTTTTCAGCATACTCCTCGTATGTCAAATCTTCCAGTCTGGGGATGGCGTTCTGAGCGGGAATGTTCTCCACAAAGGGCTCCAGAGGGGTATTGGCACATTGAAATGGTCTGTACAGTACATCTGAAAAAAGATTCTTGCAACAGATTGAAGTCACGAGTTCTCTGGGGATGTTGAGGTGTGTTGCCCGCCATGTACCGCGCCACTCAAAGTGCTCAGGAGGACATCTGTTGATTGGTTAGCGAAAATTGGGTGCCTAGAGATCTTTGAATCACAGCTTGTATGACTGTAAAGGCGAAGCACGGAAATACGATCAGTGCGGTAAGAGAAAAGAAGGAACTTCTGATTGGAGAGGCCATTTGCATGAGCTAACAGGAGGATTGCAACCAATAACTGTATTGTGTATGTGCACCATAGTCTTGTTCACATGCGCCCGACTGAAATCTCCCTGCCTCTCTTTGGGATGTGAAAAGGAATAATATCTTTTTAACACGCATCCAAAGCGAGATGGAAAGAAAATGGAAGGAAAAAGAATCCACCTACTTGATGAACAAGGCTCTCCATAACTCATCCAGCCGAGTAAAAGCGTACAAGGCCTTACAGGTGCTCCCGAGACGAGTGAGTGAGTCGGCATCGAATGACTCAAGAATGTGGCTCAGCAACTCATCCGGGAGCCTCGCGAAGAGTCCGCAATGTGCCTTGAGATTCTCCAAAGCAGTATAGGCATTGCCCGCAGGTCTGATGTGCAGAGGATGTGTCGGCACCGCTTTTGCCACTTCCACTTCGCCCGCGTCCTCGGACGGTATCAGAGTCGAGGTCGGCGAAAGTTTGGCCTTCTTGAACGGTGGCGGAAACACTTCTGTGCGGGCAGAACTGTGGTCAAGCAATGTCCCAGGCGCCATCTATGGAAACTGAGAAATAGAACGTTCAGGAATAAGCAACTCGGTAATCCATTCGAGTCCCGTGACTCCTGCAGTAAACTGGAAGAAAGGAGGAAATAACCAATGGGGTGGCCGAGCAAAGGATGAGAAAGAGATGGCTTAGCAGTGAAGGCAGGACCGAGTTTGCCGCAATCTTGGTGAGAGTAGTCCATGGTGGTGGTGGTTTTGCACCCACGTCTCCACCGCTTTGGGCTTAGCGCGAAATGAAATTTTGTGGCCCAGGGCTTAAAAGACTTACGGCCCTGCTCTCTTCCCTCCTCCATCACCCATCACCCAACCCACAACGCACAACACAACCAACGTAACACATCTCATAGATACCCTTTGATTCTCGCTCGAGGATCTGGTATCTATTTTTCACAGCAAATTCACTTCTCTCGTTCGGCGGTATCCAGAGGATCACCCCCAACAACCCACAAAAACCCACAACCCCGCCACACGCAACCCCTCCGACTACAGCGCAGCGCCTGTAGTCACTCGCTACATCTAGCACAATCATGGCTGATAAAGGTCTCGAGGATGTGCCTGAGGGTGAGTTATCCCATCTGCGGCTGGCCGTGGGCGCAGAGCGGCGCATCTGAACGCCCCGCTTCGCCAGCTGCAAGAATTTTGCGAAAGGATCTCTTCGCTAACGAACCGTCGCTTTCCAGGCCAGATTGAGTCCAACTACGATGAGACGACCGACTCCTTCGATGCCATGAACCTCAAGCCCGAGCTCCTTCGCGGAGTCTACGCCTACGGTTTCGAGCGCCCCTCCGCCATCCAGCAGCGCGCCATTATGCCCGTCATCAAGGGTGAGTTTCCGCACCTCTTCCAACCCAAGAACAATCTCCTAACCTATCGACAGGCCACGATGTGATTGCGCAGGCTCAGTCCGGTACCGGTAAAACGGCTACCTTCTCCATCTCCGTCCTCCAGAAGATCGACCCCAACCTCAAGGCCTGCCAGGCGCTTATCCTTGCGCCCACTCGCGAGCTTGCCCAGCAGATCCAGAAGGTTGTGGTCGCCATCGGTGACTTCATGAACGTCGAGTGCCACGCCTGCATTGGCGGCACCAGCGTTCGTGAAGACATGAAGGCGCTTCAGGAGGGCCCCCACGTCGTCGTCGGTACCCCCGGCCGAGTCCAGGATATGATCCAGCGTCGCGTCCTCAAGACGGACAACATGAAGATGTTCGTCCTCGACGAGGCCGACGAGATGTTGTCTCGCGGTTTCACCGAGCAGATCTACGACATCTTCCAGCTGCTCCCCCAGTCCACCCAGGTCGTTCTCCTGTCCGCCACCATGCCCCAGGATGTGCTCGAGGTCACCACCAAGTTCATGCGTGACCCCGTCCGTATCCTCGTCAAGAAGGACGAGCTTACCCTCGAAGGTATCAAGCAGTTCTACATTGCCGTCGAGAAGGAGGACTGGAAGCTGGATACCCTCTCGGATCTGTACGAGACTGTCACCATCACCCAGGCCGTCATCTTCTGCAACACCCGCAGGAAGGTTGACTGGCTCACCGACAAGCTTACTGCTCGCGACTTCACCGTGTCCGCCATGCACGGCGATATGGACCAAGCGCAGCGTGACATCATCATGAAGGAGTTCCGCTCCGGCTCCTCTCGTGTCCTGATCGCCACCGACCTCCTCGCCCGTGGTATCGATGTCCAGCAGGTCTCCCTTGTCATCAACTATGACCTTCCCGCTAACCGCGAGAACTACATCCACCGCATCGGTCGTGGTGGTCGTTTCGGTCGTAAGGGCGTTGCCATCAACTTCGTCACCGCCGAGGACGTCCGCATGATGCGCGAAATCGAGCAGTTTTACAGCACCCAGATTGAGGAGATGCCCATGAACGTTGCTGGTGAGTTTTGTCGCGACGCCCAAGCCGGTTACTTGTATACTGACTATCTCGCCAGATCTCATCTAAAGTGCTAATCTACACGCCTCGATATTCCTACTACCCTTGCACTTTCAGATTTCTTTTGGTGGCGTACTGGGTTTGTGTAGGTGATACACTAATTTGAGACGGTCGCTGCGTGGTCAGAAGCCGTTTCCGGATCCGTTCACTTCAGAAGACGGTCGAGGTGGAGATGTGCGGGTTCAAATCATCTCTCGGCGTTTGTTTCGTTCTTTTTTCCCGAAAAGTATGCGAAGGTTAGAGGTGGATTTGGACCGTGGTGGTGACGGCTCTGACAGCTGGTCATGGGTCGGTTTCCTTCTGTTCATCCATCTCATGAGGCTCTTTTCTGTCCGCTTCCCTTTCCTCTTCTTCGACTCATCGGCTAGCCTGCACTACGACGGGAACGGCGATCGAGACAGGCAGAGGCTGCGGGGTTTCTTCCTCCTTGGTACGGTTATCATGGTGGATGACCTGCGAAGGGAGGAGGGATCATCGTCGTGGTGCTGCCCGACTCTCTCGGCCTGGCAGTGTGGGGCTATGCTATGGCTATGTATGTCTGGGATGAACAGTCATGATCATGACTTCTCTTGCCGTCATCTAGAGGGTGTGATAAATGCATGATAGGCTAGTTTTTTATATATGGTTCGTGGCTATGCTTGGTTGTGCCGATGATTTGAGGACATGTGATGTCGCGCTGTGAACTTGGAAGAGCAAACTACCTCGGAGGTTTGCTAGGCTGCGGACATTCAAGCAAAAGCAAAGATCATTGTTGTGGGTGCTTGTTGTGCTATACCTGCACTTCCATCCTACTTCTCCCTGGCCGGGCTTGATGTCCAGCTCATGCTACTCTGCCAATGATAGACCTGAGAAGCAGACAAATTCTCTATGCATCTGAACTTTATGAAAACCGAGTCATCTCACACAAATTTATGGCTTTATTCCACCCAAGTCTAATCTAGCAACGTAGCTACCCCCTGCCACCTTTCTCACTAGCAATCGTCTACCTGCCTAAGAACAATCACCCGCGCCCGGTTCCTTGAACCATCTCGGACGTACACCAAATCTATCATCAACATAACAAACCACTAGAAGGAAAAGGAAAAAAAGACGAAAGACAACAACCCCTCCCAAGGCACCCCCGCACAGCTCCGCTCCTCCTCCTCCTCCCCTCCAAAGCGCCGGCCGCTCCTCATTCAGATTCAGACCAGTGGTCGCGGACCTGATATTCGAATCCTTCGTCATCATCTTCGTAGTCTTGGGGAATAACGACGTCGTCGGAGGAGGAGGAGGAGGAGGAGGAGGAGGAAAGGGAAAGAGTATAGTCTTCGCCGGACCAGAAGAAGGGGTTGGAGCCGAGTTGGGCGGCGGGGTGCGGCGTGGGAGGGCTGTCCGGTTGGGTGAAGGTGAAGGACTCGCGTTGGGGTGAAGAATGCGCCTGGGTGGACGACTCCGGCTGGTTGGAGGAAACCATATGGGTAGACGACTCTGCATGGGTGGAGGACTCCGCTGGGGTAGAAGCCTCCCCCTTGCTAGATTCCTCGTCCTGGGTTGATTCCTCCACCTGAACGGTTTCCTCCGTTTGAGCAGCAGCAACCTCCTAAGCCACCACCTCCCCACCCTCACTCCTCTCCCCACCGGACCCCGTTACCTGTACCTGCCTCTCGTTTTCCCTCTCCCTCCTCCTCTCCTCCTCCTCCCTCTCCAACCCCTCCAAAAACCCCTCCCACGTCTCCACCGTCCTCTTGAAAAACTCGACATTCCTCTCCGCCAACGCCCCCAACGTATCCCGAAACTCCAACGCCTTGATCCTCTCAAAATCCTTCACCTCCTTGACCGTATGCTCATCAAACGCCTCGCTCGTCTTCTTCGCCTGCTCCACCTCGTTCGTCAGCCGCTCGATCTCGACTTCCAGCTTCCTAAGCCGCTGCCGCCGCGACTGCTCGTGGTCGATTCCGCGCAGGTCTTCCACTTTGGAGCGCAGGAAGCCCGACGCGCCCAGGCCGGAGGTGCCGGGGGCCGCCGAGGCAAGGGCGTCGCGCTCCGTGGCGGTGCGGGCGAGGTAGTCGGTTAGCGCCTCGAAGTCGAGTTGTTTGTTTTCTCTCGTCTTGAGTAGGGACTTCACCGCTTGGATGTAGGCGTCCATGTCTCTCAGAGACGTTAGGTAGTCCTGGTCCGTGTGCTCCTTCAGCGCTTTCAAGCCCTGGCTCGTCGTCGCTACAGAGCTGGCAAAACTCGTGAGCGTGGATTCGACGCCCGGCTCGAGGGAGATGAGCTTCTGGCACTGGACGGCCAGGTCCGTGTAGTCGTCTTCGAGGTCGTGTTCGCGGCGGACGACACGCTGCGTGACCTTTTCGACGTTGGACAGGTCGTCGGCGAGTTTGGCGGCGCGCTCGTTGACCTCGATGAAGCGCTTGTCCGGCTTGTGGGGCTTGGTAAAGGTGTTGAGGAGGGATTCGGTGAAGCTGTCGACGATGCCGCCGGAGGTGCCGCCGGCGGCGCTGGGGGAGTCGGAAAGGGAGGCGCCCCGGCTGGTGCGGCCGCGCATTTGCTGATTCCAGTCGGGAGTCTCAAGGAAGATGATCAAGAGGGCCGCACGGCGTAGTACGGGATGCAAGGTCATGCGTTTGAGGAAGCGGTGCAGCGAGTGAGCGCGGCGCTGGGTGAAGTCGGGGCCGAAACGGTCGCCGCGGACGTACTCGAGTTTGTGTTTGTCGGGTAAGGGAGGAATTGCGCATTGTGGAAATTCCTTGGAGAGTTGTTTCCAGAGGAAGACGAAGTCGGTGAAGCGGCGCCGGACAGAGAATTCGGGTCGTTGGAAGGATTGGAAGTCTGACTGTGTGGATGAGGGGTTTAGCTACCTGGTGGAAGTTCACAGGGAGGTCGAGGATAGTCGGAGTACCTTTGTAGTCACTAGATAAGAGACATAGGCATCTTTCGTGCCGGCCAGCTCCTTTTGCGGACTCCCGACCGTCGTCTCCAGACGGCCCTCGGAGAAGTCGGCTGCCATGGAGGTACCTGTGGTAGTATGGGAGATGGTGGGACGGAGCGGCGCCTTTCCTTTGCCCTTGTAGTCCTTGCGGTTCACTACGGGATCCCCAAAGTGATCCCAGTCGTCTGGAGCTTGTGCGTCGGGTGAGAGTGGTGGATCTTCCTGTGGAGATGCTGCTGAGGCTGGAGAGGTGAGCTCCCGTGTGACGTCGGCATCGGAGGGGCGCAGGCGCCCGTGCTTGGCATCTTCCTCTGCCATTTCGGGGAACGAGTGCATCATGCGACAACAGCGAAGCGATGGAAATTTGGAATGTTGGATATTGATAATTGTTGATAGCAAGAGTGTCGGCAACCATGCCTTGGGCCAACGGATATACACATGTTCTATCAGATGTGAAGGAAAGCGCATCTCTCCCAAACCCTTTGAGAAAGTCAACCCGGCTGTTGAAGCGCCAATCTACATCTGAAGAGAGGAACACAGAATACAAATACAACGATGTCATGCTGTATCATTCATCGTTTCCGCACAGCTAAACCGCTGCTCGAGTTCCCTGAGAATCTTGGGCGTAATCTCGTCGCTGGTGTTCCCGCTTACGGTGGTCAGGACGCCAAGCTTGTCATAGTGCTCCAGCAGCGGTTCGCTCGTCTCCTTGAAGGCCTTCAATCGCGCTTTCCACACTTCTGGGTCGTCGTCTTCCCTCCTGGTCAGCGGCTCCCCAGTGATATCGTCCTTGCCAGGCACCTTCGGAGGGTTGAAGGTGGTGTTGTACACGCGCCCTGAAGGCGCATGGACCCACCGGTTGCATATGCGGTCGATGATGATGTCACTCGGAGTGTCAATGTTGACCACCAGATTGATCGGTATCAACTCATCCAGCCGCGATGCTTGTGCCGCAGTCCTTGGGAAACCGTCCAGGATAAAGGAAGCGCGAGGATGATCCGAATAGCTGTACTTGGAGCCCTGCGCATCGGAAGTGATGAAGCCGGAGTCCGCACTCTGGTCCGCCGCGCTCGCATCTGCTGCGCATGCACTGAGGCTGTACGGCCGAAGGCTGGTGTCGCTCAACCATCCGCGCGTTGTGAGCTCATTCACGATGAGTCGTAATATCATGTTGTCTGGGACCAGCGAACCGGCCTTCATCTTGGCTTCCGCTTGGATGCCTGCGCCCGTTAGAAAAGAAGTCATTTCTGGAGCCTACGGAGCATACCTAAAGGCGTCCGTTCTCTGACATTCTGCCGCAAGATGTCGCCGGAGCTGATGGCTGACAATTCCGGAAACCGCTTGATCAAGCGCTCTGTCTGAGTGCCCTTGCCAGCGCCTGGAGGGCCCACCAGTATGATTCTTGCCGCTCTCTTGAGCATTGTCTGGAGAGGATGTGCCGCGGTTGGGGGAGACGCAAAGAGCCTCAGCGCTATATATTGGGAATGACTTGGAGCAGGCGGAACGGGGTTTCGGAATGGAAGCCAGAGGCTCCCGAAGAGGTGCACCAGGCGATTAGCGGAGGTACATGATGGCGGAGTTTGTGGAAACTGGAGGATAAACAGAGCACGGGAACGATGTTCGGAATAACAAGAGCAGGTAGCGAGAGACGAGGACTTGCGTCGGTATCTACGGAGTACGGAGTTGTATATACAAGGAGTTGAAGATGAATGGAGAGAGAGGGAGGAGTGGAGGTGCACCGTGCGGGCCGCCATCGGCTGGTTCTCGCAACGTTTGCCCCTCCGGGATCTTCCCCAGAGACGCGGCGGTCGGCGACATTTGCGCCCGGTCATGCCAAGCCCTGAGCCACAATGTTCAGCCACAGTTTCCCGATGTTGCAATTTTGAAGTCACGTGGAATGGGGAACTGCAGGTGAATCCCCCCAGAAATGTTTAAAAAGATGTTTGATGCTCTGCATCCCTTTTTGTCTGGACGCTCTAAGGAGAAGTCCAGCTAGGTAGACCGGCCTTGCCGTCTATTTTCGGCGAATGGCGATGCCCAGCAGTGGCGGGCAGCATCTCGCCCCACGTGGGTCGCACTAAGCTTTCGGAGGTCGGCCCTGTTCCTGGCATGCTTGCACCCATCATCATCGCCTTTCTGCCATCACTCACCAACCTTCCACCATTTCCCTCCGCCAAAATACCGCTTCTGTCTTCCCCTCCATTGGTTTCGTAACCCCTCCATCTACTTGTTATCAGCCCTTCAGTAGCACGCCAGCCGTCTCCCCCTTTTGCCTCTCCCTACCGACCGCACCACCGCATCCGGTTCAATGTACGCCAGTCGAGCTGCCACCCGCGCAGCCCCAGCTGTCTATCGGGCAGGAGTCCGCACCGCAGGAAGGCCGGCTCGGAATACGCCCAGGCACCTTCCTGCCATAGCCATCCTCATCCCCCATCGTGGTTATGCCCTCGAGCAAACCAGCCATTCCACCCCCGGTTCTCAACTCCCGCCAGGCTACAGCGCGGAGCAGGTCCGGAAGTTAGCCGAAGAACAGCAGCAGCAGCAACAACAGCAGCAACAATCCAAGGAGAAGTCGGTGCCAGTTGCTACACCGGATGTCTCCATTCCTAGAAATGTCCCTACCGCTCTCCCTAAAACGAAGGCCACCGAGGCACAAAGCCTGACGGAGCTAGCATTGGACAAGGCTGCATCGGAGGGAAAGGAAGAGAAGAAGGCCGTATCCAGGAAAGAGGAAGAGAAGAAGAAATTGACCCTCTGGGAGAAAGTGAAGCACGAGGCGCAGCATTACTGGGACGGAACGAAACTGCTTGTAGCCGAGGTTAAGATCAGTTCAAAGCTGGCTTTGAAGATGGCCGCTGGCTACGAGCTTACGCGCCGGGAGCACAGGCAGGTGTGTTATACTGATACGAGTTTGAAGAAACCTCAATACTAACGCTGAACCAGTTGACCCGCACCGTCAAGGATTTGGGTCGCTTGATTCCCTTCTCGGTCTTCGTCATCATCCCATTTGCAGAGCTGCTTTTGCCAGTTGCACTGAAGCTCTTCCCCAACATGCTTCCGAGCACCTACGAGGGCCAGTCATCCAAGGACGCCAAAGCCAAGACTCTCAGGTCAACAAGGAAAGAAGTCAGCAATTTCTTGCGGCAAACATTGAAGGAGACCGGGCTTCCAGTGTCCGCGGAGAATGCGCAGAGGGACGAGTTCGCAGAGTTCTTCCGCAAGGTGGGTTTATTTACACGTCCTCTCCAATTCTTGCACTAGTCTGACTCCCGGTCAGGTTCGGACCACTGGAGAGTCTCCGTCGCCAGAAGAGATTATCAAAGTCTGCAAGATCTTCAAAGACGACCTCACCCTCGACAACCTCTCCCGCCCCCAACTCGTCGCCATCTGCCGCTACATGAACATGACCTCGTTCGGCACTGACAACTTCCTCCGCTACCAAATCCGCGTCCGCATGCGCCAAATCAAGCGCGACGACCGCGCCATCGCCTTCGAAGGCGTCAGCTCCCTCTCCGTCCCAGAACTGCAGACTGCGTGCGCCAGCCGCGGTCTCCGCACCCACGGCGTGTCTCCCGCCCGTCTCCGAGAAGACCTCCAAACCTGGCTCGACCTCCGCCTCAAGCATGGCGTACCCTCCACACTTCTCGTGCTCTCCAACGCCTTCGTCTATGCCCAGGGCAAGGAATCGGAAATGACGTCGCAACTCGCTGCCCTGGAAGCCGTGCTGTCCTCCATCCCCGAGGAGCTGTACCACGAGGTTGAGCTCGATATCCACACCATTGAGGGTGCCGCGACGAACAAGCAGCGCCTCGAGGTGCTCAAGGAGCAGCAAGACCTGATTGAGGAGGAGAACCAGCAGGCGGAGAGTCAGCAAAATAAGAATGCGGCGAGCCCGAAGGATGTGGACAATATCGATGAGGAGGAGAAGCCCAAGAGGGTCGAGGGAGAGGCGGTCGCGGCGCAGGGTGAAGGCGAGAAGGAGGGGGAGAAGGAAGCCAGTTCGGCAGACAGTGCGACGGAGGTGGGGAGTGCGGAGCGGACCGAGCAGGATCAGCGGGCGGAGGGGAAGGAGGAGGCCAGTGAAGGTAAGGAGGCGAAGAAGGAGTAAGGAGAACGAGATGAATGGAAGGGTTGTTGCTCGCGATTTATGTATATTTAGAAATGTAAGGTCCCGCTTCTTTTACGGGGCCGAAACTCGTTGTAACGGGCACTGGGAATAGCACAGTGACAGATATAGAAAATACCCACTTTGAATATAGACTGTACCAATAGTAGAAGAGGGCTCAGTATGGATATAGACTGTACTAGTAGTTAGAAGAAGAAAGACTCGATGTGGATTTAAGCCTATAAGAAGAAGATGGCGAGAGTCTTTGCGGATTCCTCCCATGTTGCTTGATGTGATATCTAAGCTGCCTTTTGGAACATGCTTGGAGTCACTATAATAAGTTGTCATGCAGCAAAGCAGTATATACATACAACATGTGCTAATTTCCTCTAAAAGTACCCTAAGGAATTTTTTTGGTTAGAATATGTATGTTATTTTTGCTTTCTGTTCTACTTACCCTAGATGTAGCGGTAGCGCTTAAGATATAGATTTACCTAGTTCAAATATATACTCCCTCTCCTCGGCGTGCTAAATACAAAATCATCATTAGCATAACCTACGTCCCACCACGATTCCGCATGCCTCGGAAAGTACATGCGATCTATGCAACCAGAATACCTTTGGACGGTTTCCCACGTCTACCCGCTCTCGATAATGGGATGGCAAAAAGGTTAACAGTATTTAACCTCCAAGCGCACCTCATAGAGAAGACATACAGCAAACAGTCAACCTCCACCTAAGCCTAAGGTTCTCGTCCCAGTCAAACTCCAACTCATGAAACAGGCAATCCACCACGTTCAAGTAGAACCTTGATACCTAGAACACTGCAGTAGACCGTCGTTCCCACGCACACAACACCTACCCAACCATCAACAACGATCAACCTCCCAGCTCGACCACACACCGCAGGAAGCCTGAGATTGGCCAGAAACCCTAAGCTCATCACTATACCAAGCTTTTCCGCAAGCGGGCGCGTTCCGAGCCCACTTCTCCCACGCCGCATCTTATCCGAGGCAAGATGCAGGGAGAGAGAGAGCGAGAGACATGTGAAAACCCCAGATTCCAAAGCATCAGGGTCTGCGGGCCCGCAGGGTCTGGGGAACTGGGGAACTGCCCATGGGGAAAATGGAGGATGGAGATAGGGTGGGTGGGGGGCGGGACGGCGAATCACCATTTGCGACCGGTGAGCATACACTTACCATCTCACTATGGACTCGGAGCTCTCATGTGCATGCCAACCAAACGACACGCAGGAATCCCGTACAGCGCCGTCCCATTGAACTGCACAGTATTTCATATTCCAGCATCAAGCCAGGTATCCCGATAGGTATGCACACTCCATCTGCCACCATATCCTCAACTACCACACTGCCCATCCCTTCCGATGCCAATATAATGGCTATGGTATCAAACAGCATCGACGTGAACATTCCCGATAAGAAAGACCCCACCATAATTACAAAGAGCCGTAAACATGACAGCAGCCTCCAAATCCCCTCTTCACCATCCCACCTCACTCCAAGGCCGCTAGGCACTTACTGGAAAGATCCGATATCAATACCGATGCCCTTGAGCGCCGGCCCGGCATCCAAATCCACCTTGATGACATTGTTCTGGATCGCCTTCTCGTAGTAGGTGAGGTGCTGGCCGCCCTCGACGATGCTCGAGTTCCCGACAATCTCAAGGGGGATGACGCCGTTCTTGAACTTGTTCTTGATGAGGGTGATGATGCCGAGTTGGTCGATCTTGCTCTGCATGGGGACGGTGTTGTTTCCGGGGGCGAGGCGCAGGTTGGGGAGGAGGGAGGTTCCGACGGCCTTGCCGTCGACTTGGAGGTTCATGGTTACGTTGCCGAGCTCGAGCGTCATGACGGAGGGGTTGGGGATGAAGACTTTGCCGACCATGTTGGAGCCGTCGGCGAGGATCTCGTTTTTGCCGGAGAGGATCTTGAGGTCGAAGATGTTGAGGCCTTCGAGCTTGTTGAGACCTGGTGGAATTGTCAGGTTGAGTAGAGGTTAATGGAAAGAGGTCGGGAGGGATTGCGTGCTTACCCTTCATTTTGACGACCTTGTTGTAGTCGACATCAATCTCTTGCAGACCAGACTGCTTGATCTTGGTCTCGCCATCCATGTGCACGGTGAACTCCTCGCTGCCCATGACGGTCATGGTGTACTCGGTGAAGCGCTCCAGGTCCTCAATCTTGAGAGCCTCATCAATGATGATCTCCGTCTCGGCCTCGGCCTTGACCTCTGGGACATCGATGTGTAGGAAGGGCTCCTTGCCTTCCAAAGAGAGAGCGGCCCGGAAGGCCCGAATCTTGGGATGGAACTGGCTCGAGCTCTTTGCGACACTGACGAGACGGAGCTTGAGGCTGTCAGGGGTAGGAGAGGTGACCTCCTGAGCAGTGACCTCCAGAGTGGATTTGTCGAGATCATGTTGAGCCTTATTGGGGATGCCGACAAAAATGCTGAAGCATGTTAGATGATTGAATCAAACGTCGTATTGATTGCTGTTGCTCACATTGGAAGCACGATCACGAGGACGATGACGGCCAATACGAGCAGGTCTGCAAGCAAGTCAGAACTGGAGCTAACAATACCAAGAAAGCAGTGTTGACTTACCGCACCACCAAAATCTCCTGCAGTGATTCTTTATCCTGCCACCAGCACCGGGCTTGGGTCCAGGAGGATACAGGGTGTTCATGATGCCGCGCTTCTTCTGGACTCCGCTGTCATTGCTAACCTCGTGCGTAACGGCCGCCTCGTCTGGCTTGTTCTCCATGATTGTATGGGTCGGCGCCTCGCGCTGGCTCTACGGTCACGGAGTGCAACGAAGAGAAAGGAGAGGAAGGGACTATTTTGAACCAGCGGTTGCGCACACAGTGGCGATCCGCGGCGGGGGATACGAAGGTGTTATGAACCTGCGGAAAGAAAATCGAGGAGCCATGAGCGGCACGACGAGGGCGGCGGACCTGCCGGGAATAGCGTAGATGGTAGAGATTGGGTGAAGTTGGGGAAGGGGAATCTGGAGTGGCGAGGGAGTCTATTTGCTGCAGGGCTAATCAGAGCAAAGTGCAGTAGCTGGATATGGAAGTACCCCGAAATGATTGCCATGACCCTGGATACTACACCGAGCTACACCGCACAGTTGCTGGCCTACCGGTCGCGTGCCGAGGCTGCCATTCGACCAAATGTCCAGGCACATGCTCCTTTGGATCTTGGGGTGCACAAAGAAAGACAGCTTGGCGGGCTGCTTTCACCACTTGCGACCAAACGGCGAATGCGGGTTACGAATGGCTGTGAGGCTCCCTGGCTACACCCGCCAGCCTGGCTGTTACACAGGACACAGAAATGGACATGGATGGGCTCGGGCCCACCGAGAGCGTTTTGGGAGGCAAGACCGAGACCGATGGGCAACTTCCAGCGAAGGAAAACAGTTGACAAGAATGAATTTCAGCAGGTCTTTGGCAAAGCCTCAACGAAAAACCTTTGGAATGGGCGACCATGGGCGCATGCGCTACTGATGGCCCGGTGCGGGAACATGTGGGGAAGCTTGGCGGTGCCTGCCAGCTGGTTTCCAAGCTTCCCAAACGGCTTCCACTCTCCAGCTCTGTGGCGCTGGAGTTGCACGCCACGCCTTCCTTTTCGAGTGTGCAGAGGAGCGATCAATAACTCGTGCATGAGGAGAAGTTTCCTTCTCTTCGGCTTCATGTGAAACGGACTGCTACCTATTCGCTCAGCTTCTGAGTTGGAAACCTTTGCTGTGGTACCGCCGTTGAAGTTGATACGAGATCCCAGAATTTAATGCTCCTGGTGCCGGAAATCGCAGCGATACATAGCAAACAATCGTGGAAGGGGACCACCATGAATGAGTATTCGACCATGGCGTTCCCCACCCTCCATGGGAGCACCTCGCCATTGGTTCTGCGGGAGGATGGGAATCCTGCTTTGGAGCAACATTGAAAGAGCGTCATCTGATCCGACTCCGAAATCTTGCTGCTTCAAAAACCCCACCGTCGAGCAGAAAGTTTGTGGTCGTGTGACGCTACCGAGGTAGCGATACCAACAGTCCGCTCCTTCATCGACGGCAAGAAAGGAAGGATGAACAAGAACTGTGGCGCAACAAGTGGAGCAAGCCACCCGACTCTGGTGGCCTTGGACGCTATGCTGTCAGCAGGTCTGTGGGGTTAGCAATGCTATGACTCTGGCATTTCGCTGCACGCGTACAGGAAACCGTCGAAGCCGCTGTAGATAGAGAGGGGACTGTTTTGGGTGGCCGCAACTTTGGCAGTTGAGAAAGTTACGCCAAGGCGCTTACCAAACTCGAGCTAGGCTCTAGGACTGCTTTCCTATATCAACCTCCTCGCAAGTCATTGTCGTTTACACTGTCTGATCCATGGCGCTCCGTACTTGGGATTGATTCAAAAATCTGGACGGCTCTCCGTACCGCATCCTTCCTCATCTGGCGAAACGAAATCGCAGTACGAAGATTCTCATTCACGTTCTTGCAGCCTGCACAGATCCAGTTCCTAGCAGCAGACGAGTTGTTATTCTTCTCGCAGATGATGTAGCTGGCGAGCGTAGCCAGCAGGAAAACGAAGATGTAGCTGGGCACAGGAGCGTCGAGACGGGTATGGATAATCTGAGGGGTGGGTTGGGTCGTCGATGGAGAGGCGGGCTGGGGGTCGGCGGATGGGGTTGCGTTCCGGCGCGATGACGACGCTTGAGACTTGAGATGAATATATCGGTGCATATCTGCTGCACTGGAGGGTGTGCGGATGTGAGAGGCGTGCCCATACACCAACAGACAAGGAAGATGAAAGGGGGATCGGAAAAGCAATGAGTGCCCGCCTGGGGCTGTAATTGTATAAGCTGAAGCGCATAAATTCCCAGAACGAATAACTTTGGACAGAATGATGGATGGCTTGCCGAGCTTCGCGATGTAGTGGTGTTGGATCATGGCTGGGAATCGAGATGGACTTGTACGCTGTACTTGTTCAAAGAATGAGGTGGAAGGAGAATCAATTTCAACAGACACAAACCCCGGAGTTGGGAAGATTTAAAGGCAATTGCAACAGGCCACCGGTGAGCCAAAAAATTCCAACATCGTTCCGATGTGGGTATTCACGCGACAGCATTAGGTCTGGTGTTGTTCCACAGGCGCCACCTTATGCAAGGAGCTCGCCAGGCAGACACCGCCGATGCCTTCACTTACGACGAGGATTTCACTGAGCGAATAAATAGTCCTACGGTGGCGCCTAGAGCAATACTGAGTACTAGAGAGGTAGACTAGAGGGCGTAGTGTAACTGCAGAGTGCGAGTGAATGAGATGCCAAGGCTCTATTCCTGATTAGGATTAAACTGCGACCGATTGGAGCTAACCTCGTACAAACATCGAGCTTCGTCTGCAACCTTGAACGACAACTGCGAGCCTACAAACTGTTCACACCCAACCAGAAAACTGCGGAACCTCATCTGTACCCTCAAGTTGGACAACTTGTAGCACTTAAATACCCGTCCACACACGCTCATCGTTCAAGTCACGATGGCACACTCAGACGAAGAAGAAGACTACATGACAATGACATTTGAGGACCCCAAACCAAAATATGAAACCTCACTCCAACGCGCTGCACGCGAGAGACGGGAGGCCGAGGATCGATCTCGCCAGAAATCCAAAGCCGAGCTGAAAGAAGAAGAGGAGCGAGCTCGCCATGCCGCACTGTCAACAGCCTTGCCAACCGACAACAAAGGCTTCAAGATGATGGCCAAGTTCGGTTTCAAGCAAGGTGATGCGTTGGGCAAGTCCGAGAATGCGAGGAAAGAGCCAATCCACATCAGCCTCAAGGAGGATCGGTCTGGTATCGGGCTGGAGTCGGAGAAGAAGCGGAAGTTTCGAGAGCGGATGGAGCAGGCGGAACGGGAGGCGAAGAGGTCGAAGACGCAAGAGTTGGACTATCGAGAGGCGCAGCGGCAGCGGTTGAAGGAGAAGAAACTTGAAGCTGACTTGAAGAAGGCGCAGAGGGCGGCGGAACGACTTCATGGAGAGAAAGAGAAGACGGAAGATCCGGACAAGATTCCGCTTAAGAATATCAACGTCCTGTGGAGGGACTTGGCCCGCGAACGCTTGGAGGAGCTCCGTGAGAAGAAAGAGAAACATCAACTCCTCAACCATCGCCTCAATAAACGGAGTCCCGTATTCAACGATGAGGATGATGAAGAAGACGCTGACGACAAACTCGCCTTGGGGCGTGAAGACGCTGTACCATTGGTGGATGACGATTTGGAAGAGGAAGATCCAGAGCTGGAGGAGTTCCGTTCTCTTCCGCTTGAAGAGCGAGTGCAGAAGCTTGTTGCATTCCTTCGCGATGAGTACCACTACTGCTATTGGTGCGGCCACAAGTACGACGACGCAAACATGGACGGTTGTCCTGGAACCACGGAGGAAGAGCACGATTGAGCGCGCGGGAAAGGACATCAATTGATTTCTATTGAAGTGCATGATGAACTGGTGCCGTCCTCATACAAGTGGTCTGTGCCTACGATCCGTGACTCTTTAAATCGAGCAGTCTTGCTTACGTCGGATATGGCTCACCGCGCACCTTCACAATGCTGACTGCCTATGCAGATTATCGGGCTGCTGATGCAGCGGGGCGTGTTTTAGGGGCTGGAAGCTCATGTGTGAGTACTACCGTGGTACCCACGTCCCAGGGTTTGTTCAATCCAGTCTCAGCCTGTAAAATACAGTCCCCATCAACGGACTCCCATAGTAATTTCCCACCTCTTCAAACCCAAACGAGCTGTACAGCTCCCTAGCCGCAGTCATAGTCTCCAGCGTATCCAAATACAGCTCTTTGTACCCATGTTTCCTCGCTTTCTCAACAATGCCCTCCAACAACTTCCGTCCCGCTCCCAGCCGCCGACTCTCGGGTAAGACGTAGAACCTTCTCACCTCTCCTTTATCAGGCGGTGCAAACGCGCGAAGACAAGCACAGCCGATAATAATGTCCGGATTTGATTCCTGGGATGCCAGGAGCAGTGCGCCGCCGTTGGATTCTGCGTATCTGCCTGGCAGGTTCGATAGCTCTTGTTCGTAGTTATGGTAGGAGCGGTCGATGCCGGGTGAGGATATGTGGGCGGAGAGAAGTGCTGTGACAATGGGAAGGTCCTTGGGGAAGTGGGCTTGTCGAATGGTGAGCGCGGGCTTCTCATGGGACATGACTTTTGACTTCCGATCGTTCTCACGGTAGGAGGAGTGCTCGATAATAGATTGGTAGTTACGTTTATCTGGAATGAGGACCTGACAGAGATGCTAAGAATATGTTCTCAAGAAGAGATTTGGTGTTGTCATATGTTGCTCGTTTTGACTGCTGGGTCTATTTATATCCCGAACTAACCGGATTCAACCGCGTATCTACATAATATCTATGTTCTTCTACATATGCACGACGACTGATTTCCGTTGTTGAATGGAGGCATCGTTATGAGACTGCTCGAGATAATGCTAGACAATATAGTTGACAAAGTTAAGATTTCTCCTATTTATGTACTTTTCTCATCCAGATCACATCGATCCTAGCAACGGGGTTATCAACCTCCCCTTCCGCGGGCATGTCAGGGTGCTTAGAGACTGATACGGTCCCTCACCCATAATCCTACAAAAGGGAAGCCCGTCTGACTATTCTTACCAGCTATCGCGCTTGCGATTGGTATCCTCATTCCCTGGAACGGTTCACAATATCCGACGCCGCTTGCCCAAACCTTTCACCGACTCTCATTTTACAGTTCCACTTTTCACCTCTCATTTAGTATCGCATGCCTTTACAAACGCCCCAGCTGGCTAGAATGCTATCTAATTTCTTCCCCTCACTTCACTGCAGTTCTTCAGGGCAGCTTACACCACCTCTTCCTCTTCACCACGCGTGTTCCGAAAGAGTAGCGCCAACCCAGCCGCAGCAACACCTGCCTCGACCATCACCATGTCGAGTGCCGGGGAAGCCTCGCGAAGCAACGCCCCAGCTCTCAACGCCGTATTGCAATTCCTCAAGGAGAAGATCGATCCGCTGGACGCCTATCACTCCACAGCCGACAGCAAGATCCGCGCTCTCCAAGAACTAGTCGAGCAGCTCTCCGACGCTTCCTCCGTCATCGACGTCCAGGCAATCGAAATCGAGGGCCATGAACTCGTCGCTGCTTACGAATCCAACCAGAAGGACTGGAAGGCTGAAATCGACAACTTCGATCCGGAGCCGGTGATTGAATTTTTGAAAAGTGCGGGGATAGTGGAGCAGAGGGCCAGACCCTGGATGGAAAGGCAATGCGGTGATATAAGGCGGGATTATACGGACTACGAAGAGGATTTCGGCGTGGAGCTGGTCAAGAAGTGGTTCAGAATGCACATCTCTATCAGGAAGAGGATGATTCAGAATCGGATCAGCGGGGATGACGAAGGCCCGACCATGAGGAGACCGCTGGCAGTGCTGTGGGAGGATACAGAGCAACTGGGAGAGAATGGCGAGCAGGGACGAGAGATTTGAACGGCATATGATGCGTCGAGCGCTGATTTGCTGTGAAGTACGCGCTCGGCGACAAGTTAGCCTATGGTAGGCAAAGAGTGAAGTTGTTTCTACATGTTCGAGAAGATCTGTTCTAACTCACTTACGTTCCCTCCGATGCTCGGATGGATTTGTCGGCTGCAGAATCAAAATATATAGCTCAGGCAGGTACTTAACGGTCCCTCTCTCGTTTTCAAGCGCTTTCTGAACTTCTCGCAGATACCGAACCTATGCCGACACACTGGCTCACTTCAGCAAGTATGAATACCGCCTCCTAATGGTGTTCCGCGCACAGTATAATTTCAAGACGGCATTACTGTAGCCATCGCATCGATTTGACGAAGGAGCGGTTCCATGCTGGAGCTCATGCTTTAGTTAGGATATCTTCATCGATAAGAAGAGGTAAAAATGTACTGGAGGGTTAGAGTTCATGGTCAAATGACTCCACGTACAGTGGTTCACACTATTTCGATGTGCAGTGGAAGTTCCAGACACGCAAGTCTTGGAGCCGAAATTGGACTAGCTTAAGTTACAAGGATTGCTTATCAAAAATCTTATCTGATCCGCCAAGCCAAGATCCTTGTCAAAAACTTTCCGAGGCGCTCACCATGACCAACGTCTCATCAACCTCGTTCCTGAAATATTCAGTGGTTTCTATGACTTTGTGGCCTTCAGATGGACGCCTTCGTAGACGCTTCCACCTCATTCTTGCCTAGCTGCGCTCCATACCTTTCGCGGCCTTGATGCGCGCCTTCCTCAAACCATTTCGTCGCCCCATTTCCGTTCCACAACAGCTGCGCACGCTTACGACTCGCCCCCGCCCTATACCGAAGCATAGCACCACTTGGAATCCCTCTGCCCAGACTCAAGAAGGGGATGGCGAGGCAGAAACTCGAGACTCTGTTGCAGGGGAGGTGCATAGCTTCGCCGCGCTCAAAGCACGTCGAGACGATGACAGAGCACGGGAAGGGTTGACAGTGGACCGTGATATAGGACGGCAATATGCCACTCGACGGCTCGAACAAGTCATATCTTTTTATGATCAGAATAATGAACCTGGGGGTAAATCGGACGAGCTACGACCTAGACTATGGAGGGCATATGCTCTAGCGAAATCGCATGCGCCGGACCTTCTGCAGACCCTACCCAGGCGGACGTGGCGTATCCTCTGGAGGTCACAAGCGATAAAGCTGCGGCTAAACCGATACAGTCGAGCACACCTCGTGGAGCTGTATAAAGACATGGTTGCCACCGGAATCAGTCCATCTACGTCTCAGAAAGCGGCTTATCTGGAAAGCATGTTTCTCAACGGAATGGAGCAGCAAGCCTTGAAAGAGTGGGAGGAATTGTTTGCGCAATCGACTTCCGAATCCGAGATGCACTTCCAACGCGGGCTGGCTGAAACGGGGGCTAGAATGCATGCTCTCGCTGGAAATCTGGATCGCGCTAAGATGATTGCAGAGAAGATCTTTGATCATCTTCCATCATGGGACCCCGAGGTTATAATGGTCGTTTTCCGGGCTCACACCAGATCGAAAGCGGCACTACACCATGAACAGGCTTGGGATCTGTATCTCAGGATGAAAACCCTTCTGGGCGAGAATTTCCAAGCCATAGCCTATAACAACTGCTTTATTGGCTTCCTAGAAGCCCGTAACCTGCAATATGCGAGGCAAGTCCTTGGCGACATGGTGAAGGCTGGCGTACTAGCCAACGGCGACTCTGAGGAGCATGTGCTTGAGGTCCGCCGCAAGCTGCACCTTCTCAACCGACTCACCACTGATATCGTCCAAGCGACCAGCGTTGCTCTGTACGCCCTGACAACACTACCAAGGGCATATCACGTGCATGTCTTCGCGGACTGGATCAAATTGGCGGCGGCGAAGAAAGCTCCCGAAGCGGCTGCGCAGATTCTTGACATGATGTTCAGGAGGGGTCATCAGCCGGATACCGTAAATTTCAACTACTTCCTAAGGTCGTTGTTCTCGACCAAGCAGAAATCCCATGAACTGAGGGCGGAAAATATTGCATGGCATATGGTAGACATGGCCTCCAGGGCAGCGTCTGGCAACGGGCGGCGGCAGCCTAGAACGTCGGTGTCTGATCCGCTTCTTCTTCGAAAAATCCCGCCTGCAAATGGGGCGACATATGCCCTGCTTATACGGCATCATGCAAACCACTCGCAGTGGGAACATACCGATTATCTTATTAGGCATATGCGGGCTAGGCAAATACCCCAAAACACCGAGACTATGAATGTTTCGATGGACAGTCTATGCCGCCAAGGCGATTACAACAAGGTTTGGGACACGTACAGCACTCTGACAAACCCGCCAAAAGAACAACCTGGTGTCTTTCCCAATGGGGCTACGTTTCGTTGTCTATGGAAGACGTTGCGTCTTGCTCTCGGAGACGTTGAGCACCGCGAGCACTCAACACTTCCAGGTCCACGCGAACTTCTGGCGGAAAATATTCGTTGGTGGAATATGGTCCGAAGTCGCTATGACGCGTCTCGATTCCGAGCTGGACTGGCCGCGGAGGATAGCGGGGCTTTGAGCAAGCTGGTTATGCACTGCTTCAGCTACAAGAAGGACCTCCCTGGATCGCTTGTCGCAATGCATGCGCTGCGAAGCCAATTCTACATCTTACCGTCGATGGAAGCCTCTTGGATTTTGCAGAACCAGATCGCCTGGGTCGAGGCTAGCAGGGAGGCCAAGACTGCTCGGGCGCGGTACAGGATGAGTGGCCTGCACCAACGAAACCTCAAGCAGGTGGGAAGGGTCCAAAATATTCTATTTCATGATCGGCTGGCCCGGATGAACATGTCCGAGGAAGAGTTTGCGTCGCTAAACGACGAACGCAAGGCGGATATCACGTTGGACAGCCTGTCGGAGTTTATTCGCGCAGTCCTCAAAAGACAACACGCTCCTGAAGATGTCGAAGCGATGATCGACAAGGCAAAGAACGATATCGGTATGCCTAATCTTCCAACAGGCGATATGGACGCGTTTATTGTTGCATGAACGACGTTGCTGGTATGCAATACGCACGTTACTTTATTTCGATGGGTTTGGCTCTGATAGACCATAGTCCGGGTTTGGTTGGAGCATTTGTATTGGGCGTCTGTGTTCCATTGGGAATGAAGGTTGGCACAAGAAACTTTGACGTTGATGTATAGAAATGATACCCTACTCCGGCAGCCTGTACTAGATGTAATTTTGAATCCAATTCTTATATGCTAACTCCATATAACCGTGGTATTGCGTTTGTCAAATCATGTCATTGCCATCCCCCCTGTCCAGTCCTTATAGCCCCAACGGGTTGTTAGCAGTTCCCTTCCTCGGAGGCCCGCCAGGCGCCGATTTCGCCTTTGCCCTGGCGCCGGCTGGTGTACTCGCCAAACCCAACGGATTCTTGTCCGTACCGACTCGGGGGCCCGCCGCGCCGGTCATGTCCTTGATCTGGTTGCCGTATTCGCGGACTGCATTCCCCCAGCTGCGGGAGGTATTCGTAACGCTGTAGATATAGACGTAAGTTGACCATTTCCCCATACAGTTCGAAAATGCGGTAATCGCATACCTTGCGCCCGCTCCCCGGCCCGCTCCAGCTATTCCGTTGCCGGCTGCGTTTACAATGCCTCCCGTGAAGTTCCCGATGCCGGCGGCGGCGGCGTTTGTAGTGCGTGTGAGCCAACTTTGTTGTTGTGGTGCCATATTTGGGAATGCAAAGTGATGAAGATTTATGTTCTCTGTTGCAAGCTCGGGATTCTCGAATGGGTGATTTATTTAAGCGTAGAAACACGCTCAGAGACTACTGTGTATGCTTGAGCAGCAATGATGTCAGGCTTGATGCTCAATACATTCACGCTAAGCCCAATGAAATAACGTTGCATTAGCGTCGCCGATAAAAGCTTGGCGTGCCGTGACATTCAACGTCCCAGACTGGTGGTGCGCGGTGAAGGATGACACTTCTCGGCGAGTTCTGCCTCCTCCCCGCGTACGCATGGGCTCGATAGCCTCAAGTCGTTTGCCGATAAAGCCTTCTTTCTTCCTGCGGTTCCTGAAGATCAGTCACAAGATGCATTGCTAGCGGCCTTGCAGATATTCCGTGTGGGGAACGGCTAGCAGCATTGGTCGCAGCGCTGCGTTTCGAGAGCTGCCATTCACTGCCTTTCACCGGCGAGTTCACCGCCGACGGCAATGAGGCGCCGTTCACTCAGCGTCTTTTGAGTGTGAAGCTCGCTTTAGCCAGGGGTAAGGCCGTTTGACGTTCCTTTTCCTTTATGTGCACGATGCGATGACCCAAACCTCCCCTCCCCCCAGCGCCTCCGGCAGCTCTACAACACTTGTAGACAGCCAGCACGCTGCAGTTTGCGCCCAAATGGCTCCCAAGGAGCGTGACGGCGATAATGATCGCAGCAGTGCTGCCGGAGGCGCCGCAAATGAGCGCCCAAAGCGCTCACGAGGTCTTACTTTGGAGAACGTGCTAACGATTGTCCGAGGTGGCAGGCCGCGCGCAATCTCCAAGGCCGATATTTCCAATCCCATCGCCGCCGACTACCCTCTTCATTTGCAGACGAGCCTCGTCGAGCGCGATACACTCTCCTCCCCGCCAGTAGTGTCTCCCGAGACCGCAAGGACCCCGTCTAACCCCATCTCGCCCCCGCTCACTCCGCTCGAAGCAACACGATCAGTTCCTACAGCACGGCGACCGTCGGAGAAGCCGACGCATGATAGGTCATATCAGCTACTTCGCTCGAACTCCGCTCCTCCCCAGGCGGCAGACTTCATTCTCTTCCCTCCTCTAGGCAAGAAGGATAAGAAGGACATAGGCAGGTGGCTTGCTGATCCGCAGCATTCGCATGCATACCCCGACCTAGGCCCTGTAGTCACCACCCGGCCCAGACGAGACAGACAACCAAGCACGAGTGAACAACGCCATAGAAAGCATTCCTCGCCTTGGAATACGACTGTGAAAGCTAGTAGAGACAAGTTCAAGGTCCCTGCCGGCACTACAACTCCTGTAACTCCGCCGCATTCGGAGCGACTGCCTTTACCTCCTTCGCTGTCAAGAGCAGCTACAACCGGCCTGGGAAGCTGGGAGGGTGGTCCAAGGAAGCACAGTAACATCGGCCGTGATCCTTTTGGACTTTGTAACCTTAGGGACCTCACTGTTCAGGAACAGCTCAATTTCGCGTCAGAGAAGCTCTATCAGCTGAGCCAGCCTTCTCAGGAAGGCGAAGTTACCCCTGTCCAGAAGCGTACACTCAAGTTAGTCGCAACCATGGATCGTTCAAGTCTACAGCCTCCCAGCAATGTGGGCACCAAGGCCCGCGCTATACAGCAGGCCAAGGAGATGGAGAAGTTGGTAGCAGAGAGGGCGAAGAGGACAGGAGATGAGCCACCCCCTTATGACTTCTTTGAGTTGATCGGGAAAGGCGCCTATGGGAGAGTGTTCAAAGGGTAGGTGTGCGTAGATGGAATAGGCATTGCTGGCGCTAAATGAGTACAGGAGAAATCGCGCTACTGGCGGACTTGTCGCCATCAAAATTATTGATATCGACAAAACCGACTATGAAGAAATGACGACGAAGAACCTGCAGGAGACGTTGAGAGAAATCAACATTCTTCAGCAGTTGAAGGATAGCAGAGCTCGGCCATACGTCAATATCATCGAAGAGGCGCGCACCGTTCACAATGAACTGTGGATCGTCAGCGAATATGCTAGCGGCGGGAGTGTCCACACACTCATGAAGCCTAGGCTGCAGCAGTTGAAAACTGGTATTGAGGAGAAGTACATTATCCCAATTGCTCGCGAATTAGCGCTTGGCCTTAAGTTCATACATGAGGCTGGTGTTATTCACAGAGATTTAAAGAGTAAGTGATATTTGTTTCGATGCTGCCAATCCTCACATTGCCATTTTCACACTGCCATTTTTTAAACTGTCATACCTCTTGTGTGACGGGAACTGACAACGCAGGCAATAATATTCTGATCCTTGAAGATGGAAGAGTCCAACTTTGCGATTTCGGTGTCTCCGGCGCTTTGGAACCCGAAATCACAAAGAGATCGACGATTGTTGGCACTCCAAACTGGATGGCACCCGAGCTGCAGAGGGAATGGGTCAAAGATCTGGACCCCAGTAGGGGATCGCGGCCTAATGATATTCTATACGGCTCAGAAGTCGATATTTGGGCTTATGGCTGCACCCTCTACGAGATGGCGACGGGCTTTCCGCCGTTTCACCAGACACAACCGTTTCTACTACCTGATGCAGGGGTACCTGTCTTGGAAGGGGATCAATACTCTGATGAACTTAAGAGTCTGGTATCATTCGTACTTCAACCGAATCCCAGGGACCGACCAACTCCGGACCAGATTCTTCAGCATCCATACATTGTCGATAGTACCAAAATGCACCCTACTGTCACTCTTGTGGCTCTAGTGGAGCAGTACTACCGCTGGGAGCAGGCTGGAGGATCCCGCGTTTCGCTTTTCAACCCTTATGGAGCGCAGGCTCCCGATCCACTGGCTCCGGAGCCTGAGGAGGAAGAGGATGACGACTGGACTTTCAGCACCACTGATGAGTTCGACAAACAATTCGCCAATGAACACTCCGATCCCTTCAGTGGTGGCTCCTCTACATCAAATTTTCCAGGGATGAATGCACCTCCTGAAGATGATTCTCGATTTGCCAAGCTTCAAGCATCTATTCGCGCGGAGCAAGCAGAACGCGGGAAGAAGCGCCTCGATCGACTCTTCGACACTAATTCTACGCCTTACAGGTTCAGCACTGTTGATTCGGATTCCAATAGGCTGTCCTCCGATCTCGTACTGCGCGACTTCAACCCTGGTGCTCCTAACCGCGAGACCGTTATTGATTTGGACTTTGCGGCACCAACTGCCGTGGACATTCCTAGTATTGATCTAGGAGAAGTGCCCACTGTTAAAGCAAGTCGTATCAATCGGTTGATGCGTGATATGGATGAGGAAGAAGAGCAGGAGTATATCGATCTTGACAACACTGCGCGGCGAGACACAAGGGAGTGGAAGTTCCCTTCAGCCATCGGTGAGCAAAGTCCCAAAAGCCAGACCTTTTCCAGCGTGCCTCGAGACAGGAATAGTCGACGCAAGACTATGGAATGGAAGTTCGACTTCTCGCAATTAGCAGCCGAGCCCGAGCCTCTACCCAATGCACCCCGTCTCTCCCGTCGACGAGACACTCGGGATTGGGTGTTCCCTCGCGACACGACTTCTACGAAAGAGACTAGCGGTAGCCAAGACTTTGTCTTTCCCCCTAGAGAAATCGACGAGCCCTTTGGTTTATCTTCCGAACCTCCTGAGTTGTCGTCATCCCCTACCCTTGGCCCAGACCGCAGGCCTTCACTAAGACATGCAGTCACCGAACCATACGGTGTATTCGACGACTATCCGCCTCTACAACCACCGCCAGACTCTCCATTACGCACGTCGATGATTAACCTGGACGTGGCTGTCGTTGACAAGTTCCGCCCATCTACTTCCGGGTCGACCTCCACTACGGCTTCCACTTCTAGGGGCCAGGAAAATAGAAACCCATTCGATCTGGAGGACCAGGTCACTCGCTCGGAGCCAAACAAGCGCGCCTCGTATCACATGAAATCGCAATCGGAGCCTCAACACCATATTCCCGGCCTCCTAACCCCTCAGGTCTTCGACGAGCAAGGCAACCCAACCATACAGGACCACACGTATACGAGCATGCATGCCCGCGGCGTCTCCTCGGTCTCGCAGATGCAACCCCGTCCCGCACCAGACAATCTGCGCTACCCTAGACAACGCTCACAGCACCTAGTTCCGCAGTGGGACACATGGAGTCACCAAGACGCCTTCCTGACGCAAACGTCCTCGTCTCCTGTTTCCGTCTCCCCATCCACTTCGGTCGAAGAGGAGGAAAGGATAAATATCGATGACCGCTGGGATAAACTCGAGCGGCAGGTCGACGCTTTTCAATACCAGCGTAATGGCGGTGCGGGTGGAGGAGGCAGTCGTCAGTTTTCCGGCGGGTACTTCCGATCGTCGCGCAGGACTACGAGCACGGACATTGATGATAGGAGCGATGCCGACGATAGTTATGCCTCTCTCTCGGAAAGCGGGTTCGATGACGGTGGCATGACTGTTCGACCCGGACCAACAGCCGCCTCCGGGCAACAGAGAGGCACGACGAGAGTCAATATCGCGAGTCGGCTTTCCGTAGGCCCGGGCGGGAAACCGATGCTCGATTTCCCCATCCCGCGGGGTCCTGACTTGGAGTCGTTGTTGAGATATGGAGGGGTCGTTGAGGGTGAAGGGGAAAGGGATGCAGAAATAGTGAGCAGGTACGCCGATGCTTTGTGGAAGGGGGCGAAGGAGATGACGGAGGGATTGAGGGCGAGTAGGAGTTTGTTGAGGAGTATGCGGTTGGCGGAGATGGAGGTTGGGGCCGAGGAGGAGGAGGAGGAGTAGAGAGGTGCAAGAAGAGAAAAAGATTTGGGGAAGGGTTGGTGTATGCCGGGGCGGTTGGCGTGGAGTTGAGATGAAGTTTGCGGGAGGGTGTGTGGGACTTTGCAAGGGTTTTGCTTTGTGTCTTTCTCCATGTTCTGTGGTTTATTGGGATACCCCAGTTATGGCGTGCGTGGCTTTTTTCTTCGGCTGCATTGGGAGAGGATTAAAAGGTTTAGGAGGTTTTCTTTGAGGCATGCGTGTCTGCATTAGGCGCCCTGGGAGTACTAGGATGGACCTGGAGTTTTGATAGCGGCATCGTGAGCAGAGCATGCAATGATGCGTGCCGATAAGGGGAATCAATGATGGCATGTCAAGAAAATATTGGGATTGCGTCTGCGATGAGTGAGGATGTGGAATGCAAACTTCAGCCTAGCAGGCTCCCATACATACACCGAAGTAGCATGAAAGCAATACTGTTTGTTCAGCATTTCCGCCTTTAACGTTCATCTCAACACCGCAGCACGTGAACCTGCATGCGGCAACCCAGCCTTTCGGCTCCAACGTCTTTTGCTTGTCCAATCAGTCAGACGCATGTGTTGAGCTTGACCGGTCTACATTCATAGTCAACAGCGTGCCCGCCTCTTTGGTGCAGCATATGCCAGTATCCCCAAAGCTATCTTCTCTTCGAAAATTAACCCAACTCCGCGCGCAATGTCAAACTCCTCAGTCGCTCTCCCGAGCGCAACACCAACCCAAGACGCCGCATGGTCGTCCCTCGTGACCCGGAGCATCGCCGCTTGGGACGACATCACTTCCAAATTCGACAGGCCGCCTGTCCCCGAGCTGCACAAGGGCCTGTTACGCCAATACGATTCCCTAGACGACTTCCTCGCCTCGAGTCCCGACCATCTCACATACTGGTTCTTCCAACGGCGCAGCGCCTTCCTGTCGCAAACCCGCTTCCGCAAATGGTCCCGCGACGCTCTGGACGACTATATCCTCCTACCCGCCGCACCGGGCTACGTCTGGCGGGCCGACTGTTTCTTCGTGAGCCACTTCTGGCGCACGACGCAGGACCCGGATCCAGACGGCGAGACGCTGCGCCTCCACCAAGCGGAACTTACGCCGCAGACGTGGTCGTATATCTGGGTAGACTGGACGTGCTTGCCTCAGCATCCACGGTCGCCGCCGGAGAAGAATTACTTCCATCGCGGCTTGCGGACCATGTCGGGCATCATCCGCAACACGGGGTTTATATATTTTTACCCGCCGTTCACGCCGCGCCTGTGGATCTTGTACGAGGTAGCGGAGTACGTGCTCACGTCTGTTGGGGGCCTCGCGGAGACGCACGACATTGAGCCGTTTCTAAGCCATGTCGACGAGATGGTTGAGAATGGGGTGCGGGCGACGTTGATCAAGCATGATTATCATTGCCGTGAAGAGCGCGACAGGCGGTATCTGACGTCGTGGCTTGAATTGCTTGTTCTTCTCAGACGGCTGGAGATTGAGGTTGACTTGGTTCGAAGGGTGATGGATCATATGACGTGGTTCAATGTTTCGGGCTCCCAGGTTTATCCGGGGATGGAAGTGAATAGATATGAGGGGATTTTGGTGTATCGCGGGGATAGGCATGGTTTTACGCCGTTTCCGAAATGGGTTCGTTGCTTGTGAAGGATTGGATGCTGGATGCTGGCTAACGGATCGTACAGGACGAGGAAGCGGAGTTTTGAGGTCTTATACCGCAGTGCACCGCAAGGTTTGAGATAATCTTTCGGTCGCACAGTATTGCTATCTATTCCAAGTTTTTCTCGTTATGATCATTTCTCGCAGGGCATGAAACAGAGTCAGTGCCTGACCTGACGTTGCTGCGGAAGTGGCAATCTACCATGCTCAAGCTGTACTCCTTACGACTGAGGCAGATGCGAAGGTTGAGGAGGCAAGGTTCTCCTGCGCTTTTTCTTGGTCAATAGTACTAAGAGTGGACTAGCTGGGTCGAGCAGGGCGGTAATAGAGGGTTTATCTGAAGTGTCATTCGTCTCTTTGTATAAGTTTTTTGTGCGATTATATTAACGATGCACAGTGGAATCAAATCCCGGCTCTCTAGTCGACAGTAATTAGACAGACTGCGGTCCTAAATTATTTGTATAGGCACTGTTACTATTTAGGAGGAGTCCACGAAGATACTGATCTTAACAGTTAACCAATAGAAACGCTGAAGTTATCTTCGCGTCAGCAGTGAGTGGTCTCCAGTAAAAGTGGCGGTATAAGGATGTTCCAACCCTAGGATATTCGCGTTAGACCGATAAATTTCGTCCTCCCGTACGATTTCCCATATATATCGTTAAGTATCTCAGTCCAAGGATTATCCTTACGGTCGCCCTATATATATCCTTGTATAGTGTAGTTTTCTAAGCCTCCGCAGAGGCTCCTAATTAGGCATATTCCTTACGTGCGGGCATAAAATTTTAGCTTAGCCTACCTAGGTAGGGGTAAATAAGCATACAAGGGGAAACTACAGGCAGATAACTATTACTAATTTTCTTACAGCGTAATATCTTAATTTTTCGACTCCTATAATTTGTATAGTATCTAGCAACTTTCCATATTAATTAGTTATCCACTCGGTGCTGCGATAAACGCGTTATTACGATATATTTCGCTCTCCCGACCCATATCCTTATAGCGCATATTATACCGTAGCAGTAACGGCAAGGCCAGGGAAGCACACCCGCTGCCCGCTCGAGGCTCAATCTGTGACAAGGCTGAAGGTGGTGGGCCGTTGTGAAGCGAAATGTGGCTATGCTCTTAATCAGGCAATATGCATAGCCGGCCAGGCAAGTGTGGGAGGGAGGCTGAGCTTTCCCTCCCCTAATCAAGTAGGAACGAAGTGCAGCCCCTCCAACACACCTCTACCTTGCTTTCTTCCCCCCTCTTCCTCCCGTTTTTCCTCATTTACCGTACTGCGATAGAGATGAAAGCCATTTCGCAACGCAATGAGCGACATTTCTGACACGATGTTGGCTACTACACCGTCTGCGCGGACGAGAACGAAAGCTGCTCTCGAATCTGGGAATACCATGATACGCGGACGACAGTGCTGTGACGAATGTCTCAACTCACCACTAGCGCACCTCCTAACATGGGGGATACCGGCATCGAACATCATGGGAATGAAAGACAGGCATGGAATAGACCGGAACGAACTTAGAGATGGATGCTATACGTGCAATGGACTGGCGATGCTTTTCCGCCAAGCCGCTGAGGTTTTCAAGCGCGAAGAGAACCAGCTGAGAATTCGCGCTTGTATATACCACAAATTTCTCGAAATTCACGACCTCAATAACGGGTTCTTCGGGAGGCGTCTTGGCGACTTCTATTCACCCACATGTGCGTATGGACCATCACGATCGGATTCAGGAAAGCTCCAACGTCTCACAAGGTCAATGCGTAACACTTCCGACTATGCTGATGTGCTGAAATGGTTCCGGAAGTGCCGACTGGAACACACCGAGTCTTGTGGACGAGCGGTTGGGAACGAATTTCCCCTCAGAGTGATAGACTGCAGCACCCGAAGATTGTGCATAATCTCACCCAAGAGCCATTACATAGCCTTGAGCTATGTATGGGGCTCCAGCACTTCCCATTCACAGCTTCCCGGCGGCGGCTTGCCGGAACAGCTGCCAAGGAGAGTGGCAGACGCAATGAAGGTCGCTCTCATATTTGACATACCGTATCTCTGGGTAGACCGCTATTGTATTGACCAGCACAACGCAGAGGAAAAACACAATCTCATAAGGAACATGGACAAGATCTATCGAAATGCCGATCTCACAATTATGGCCATAGCTGGCAAAGACTCCGATCACGGTCTCCCTGGAGTCGGCAACACTCCTCGAAAAGCAGCAGCTATTAGCACAGAGAGCCTGTCATTTGTAAACAGCGTCAATCCAGCGGAAGAAATCCGAGATTCCACTTGGATACGCAGGGGATGGACGTTCCAAGAGCTACTTCTCTCATCCCGCCGACTCTTTTTCACAGACAGTCAGATGCTGGGCTACTGCATTGACGATCACTACAGCGAATACGAATATAGGGATGACAATCGCCTCCGCATCTTCCTCGATGCTTCGCGGCTGCTTAATATGACTATCGCCAAGCTATACGAATTCCTGGAGGCGTACTATGCAAGACAGTTGACTTTTGCGAGCGATGCGTTGAATGCCTTCGAAGGCATCATAAACGCTTCGTCGGAGATGAAGGACCTTCCACAACACTTTTCTTACTTCTGGGGCATTCCTGTGTATCTCAGCCCAGATGGGAAGACTTTCAACGCTGCGCTACTCTGGAGTGTACTGTACATCATTGAGAGAAGGCCTCCAGAACCGCAGAGCCGCAGTGTTGACTTCCCATCTTGGTCGTGGGCCAGGGACAAAGCGTATGCAACTCAGTACCAGGGTCATCTAACATTGCGAGATATCAAGGTCTCTATGTGGCCGGATCCATCTATGGATGGCAAGCGGGGCGGTGTGTTTATCGAAGTGACACGGCGATGCGACGGGGCCAATATCAGCTTTTGCACCTTCGCAAAACTTCGGGACCACTATTCGGACTATCTTCCACACTTGGACATCCAGGCCTGGTGTATTAAAGGAAGGATTACCTTGGTAGGGAAACTAGGTTGCGAAGACTGGGCGTTTCTCACGGGTGACGAAGAGATTGCTACGAACGTCTTTCCAGATTATACTGGAAGATTACTTGGTAGAAAGGTGTTGGTGATATTCATCGAGTCAAACGACCCTCCGCTTGACCATAACTGGTATGTAAACTATCTTGTAGTGGAGGAAGTTGAGCATGGGATATATCGACGTTTTGGATGGATAAAGGGAGATCAGATTAAAAGCGGATGGGAACGGCGGAAAATCCGTCTATTTGAGTTTCACACCAATGCGAAACAATTTCTCACCCTGGCCTGAGATAGAGCGTCTTTGAGATTGCCTATCAAGTGAATTTCTGAGACTGCCTATCAAGTGAATTCCTTGCATATGGTCAGTTTTGTGAATACTCGTCTACTTCTAAGCGTAATACCGTAAAGCACTATCACTTATATATGCATCATTGGGCATATACTATCTTCGCCTGTATAACTTACCTCTACCTTAGGTACATGATGCTAAGCTTTGATCGCCATTTTAACCATTGTCTCTAAACACAAGATGGGTTAGTATCTTTTAATAGACGTCGCTGAACCCCTGCCACACATTGTAGATACATTCGAATATTTTTCCACATTTAATCCACCGAACTACCCTACCCCACCCAACATTTCCACGCCCCACCCTCACAACCACCCTACACCCATCAACATCCTCCAAGATGGCCACAAAACCAACCCTCGCCGAATCTTCCACAACACCCCATCTCCCAACAGCACTATCACAACAACTCGCGCTCCCGCTCTCATACCACCATGCTCCCCCCGGACCAACCACATACACCTGTTCCTGCCACTGCTCTCGCATCCGCTTCACCATCACGCTCCCTCTATCGCTAACAGACCCGAACTGCGAAGTCGTAGAATGCAATTGCTCGATCTGCACGCGGAACGCGTATTTGTTGGTCTACGTTCCCGGGCGGGATCTGTTATTTCTGAATGGGGAGGGGGAGCGGGGGTTAAGGGTAGGGTTTTTTTCACATTTCAGTCTTTGCAATTGTTTTCGCTTTTTTGGTGCCTCTATGCTTTTGACTTTTAGCAAATATATTCATTCATTCTCTTTTTTTCTATTCTCTGTTTCCTTTGCTCTTTCCCCAATCAACTATCTTCATATTCTTGATGCATAACACGCACATCGACCCCCCCGCCCGCCCCCCCTTCCTATATCCCACCCTTTACACCCTCACACTCCTTCCAGCACACTAACCCCACACATCGCAGCACTACCAAATCCACCCGAACGACCCTAACACGCACCTCTTCTGCCCTGTCTGCGGTACAGCCTGCCTAACAACACCATCCAACCAACCCGCCTCGATAAGCCTCCCAGGCCAAAGCATCTGGGGCGTCAATGTCCGAACGGTGGAACGACTGAATCTAAGGAGATTGCGGATCAAGATGATTGATGGCACGTGTGATGAGTATATAAGTGCGATGGGTGATTATCTTGCCAGTACGTGAGGGGTACATTGGGGTGGGCGTGCGAGAAGTTCAAAGAGTTATGGAGCGCGGCCTGGGTTTTATACCGTAGTGGTATAGTTTATGATAAACAGTTTTGTTCGAGGCATGCGCTTTTGGCTTTCTTAATTCCAGTCTGTGTAGATACGGCAGTGAATAGCGTTAGCAGAGGCAAGATTGTATTGCAGGAGTTGACTCTTCTGTTTAGGTGTTCGTTGGCTACACCTACAATCCTATGATCATGAGTGTAAACATAAATTCGTCCAGAAGATTCAAATATTCACATCCCTATAGCCATCTACCTCTACCTACGTCCAGAACCTCCCCGTCTCTTCCCCCTCCCCCTCTCCCTAAACACCCAGCAAACAATCCCACCCTCCCTCCCTATATCAACCCACCATCTCCCATCTCCCCCGCACCAACACCACCAACACCAACCGCATAACCCCCAACTCCTCCCAAACCCCCAACAATGCCAGACCCAACGCACATCAACACCACCACGCCCCCACCCCCTCCCCCAACCGTCACCTTCCCCACCATCCCCTCTCCTCTCCTCACCTCGACAAAAGCCTTCGTCAAGACACAACGAAACATAATCGAATGCTTCCAACCCTCCACCATCACCGAGACCAAACCCGTCTCCCGAGCCCTAGCCAACCAGCGCCTCGTCCGCGTCTTCGGCATCGACAACGTCTTCACCAACGCCGATGACCCAGTGTACCGGAAACGATTCACGCAGCAGTCGACGCGCAAGATGCGCGTTGCCATTGGTCTCAGCGCTGAATCGGAAGTAAAGAAGAAAGGCAAGGATAACAGCAACGACAGCACAAACGCCCATGCCCATCTCCCAGAAACAGAAGCAGAAAACGAGAACTGGGAAGACCTTCGCGCCGCCGCCCGCACCACCGTGAACGAATTCCTCACACGCAGCAGCAGCAGCAGCAGCACGGGGGCCGAAGCAGCAGTCAACGTCGTAGACTTCGCACAATACGTAACCCTCAAAGTCTCTTTGAAATATCTCTTCCCCGACGCCTCCCCTTCGGCACCAGGCTCTCCTTCTGCCGAGTTTGCTTACATCCAGTTCATCGGGCAGCGCATCAACGAGCTCTGGCTCGCGTCCAAGAACCCACATGATACCACTACGTCTTGGAAGGACGAGACGCGGCTTCACGAAGCGTTGCTAGCCGTGACGGCCCCGCGGGCTACCTGGATGCGGAGAATCGCGCGTGCACTCGAGTATATCCCCGGGCTAGGATCGCTGTTTCGATATCTGTTCGGCGTGAGGAAGGAGGACGCGGAGCCGCATCCTCTGGATCCGACGCGGAATCCCATGAATTGGCTACTGCCTGCCTACGAGACGATGTGGCGGGTCGTCATGCGTTGTGTTTTGGAGGTCGGGTACCGGGGTGCTGGAGACGCGGATGTCTGGAAGCGGGTCATCGCGGAGTATGTCTCGGGGGATGCCGAGTTCCGGAGGAGGAAGAAGAAGAAGAAGAACGAGAGCGACGGTGGATATGATGGAGCAGGCGACGTGGACCTAACACAGGATCTCAGGGCCATGGATATCACGCGTGAAATCCTGCGCCTCTACCCACCCGTGACGCACATCCATCGCCGCGTCAACAAAACTTCTCCCGAGATCCTGAAGGCCGACATACTCGCCTGCCACCGCAATCCCCTGCTCTCGCATAACGACCCAGATGTCTTTCGACCTGAACGTTGGATCCAGATTGAGCGGGACATTGAGGACTACCTGTCGCGCACGGATCCGACGAAGAGCCGGAAGAGAGAGGAGCAGGAGAGGGGGTTTCTTCCTTTTGCTGCGGTGTGTCCGTCTGATCGTGGGGAGACGCGGGGGTTCGGGATGAAGATGATCGCCCTGTTGACGGGTGTGATGTTGGAGGGTTTGGGCGGTGGGTGGCAACTGGATAAGCAACTGCCAGAGATTGGCACTGCGCTAGAAGGCGGTAGGACCTCATATCTGGATTTGCATCTGAAGAGGTTGGGAGATGGGGATGGGGAGCAGGAAGAAAGAGGGGTGTGAGCGCCTCATCACAAATAGAGCTACAGTAGAATCAGCATTGAGTAAAATTTTCTTGGTAACGTCTTCTGGTTGGAGAGGTGTACTCAGTGGACAAGCGTTCTCATGTAGCGTACATCGGGATGCACAGGCTCTCGTGGCTCAATAACACTGATATGTCATGCACGCTTTCGGTGATCCTTGAGTATACGTCCGCTCACTGAAGCGGGAAATTCCAGATATTGATATAGTTGGAATCTGTACATTGAGGTGAAGTTGGTTGGGGTATCTAAATCTTCTCTACTTTGCCTTCGTCCACGGAAGACCAAGCTTGTGCATCTCGACGGCCAGTTGTAGGATATAGTCGATGCTAGCATTTTGTTAGTTCCTCTACCACTTCTTTCAATAACTGGGGGATTGCCATAGCTGGCCGTGATAGTGATGACATACCTCTCGCACTGCGTCTTTGCCTTGTGCACGTTGTCCCCCCAGACGTAGCTGCGTGGGTCAGTCAGCTGTAGCTAACAGTCGCGTTCGTCAAGGACTCACATCCCATGCCTCCTCACCAACACGGCGTACGTGTCCGGGTACTTCTCCATGGCCGCCTCCAAACTCTCGGTCAAATCCTCCTCACTGGACGATGTTAGCATGCCACCATCCGAAAGCGGTTTCCAGTCGCCGGTGCCGTGGCACCCCACAACATCGACACAGAGTATAAGAACAGAGCTTCCACATACTGCGCGGTATTCTCAATAATCGGAATCCTCAACCTCTCATAGAACCCCAGATTCCCCTGCTTCCCCCTCCCCCTCGGAATCCCCTTGATCTGCTCAATCTCCTCAATCTCAAAGCACGCGTCTTTGCCAAAGTCCCGTTCGACGAGCAACGTCACGAGGACCGCCCATTGCGAGTGCGTATGGATGCAGCAGCCGGCGCCTCGCTGGAAGGCGGCGTAGAAGAGCGGGGTACAGGCGGACGGTTTGTGCGTCTGCGTTGAGGATGGATGTCAGAATTGGAGAGTGTTAGAAAGGACGTAAAGTGGAGGAAGCGTACTTCAGGTCTTCGGATGTACTCCTTGCTGGCAAAGTCCATGACAAACATGTCCGTCGGCTTCATGAGTTCCTTTTGCACGCCCGAGGGCGCTATGTAGATGTGGTCGCCATGTCGGATGGAGGTACCGCCGCCTGTGCCTGTGACCTAGTCCTCAATCACACATTAGTGCTCTAGTGTCCTCTTCCAGTCCTGCACAATTGCAGATATCGAAGTTGTCATACCCAGCCCAGATTGTAGAATTTGGCGCATAACGTGCAGATGTGGTTTGCGGGGTGTTCAGGGTCGTCCGAATGGACGAGATGCTCGTTCTCGGCCATTTCCGAGATAATTGAGGGCTGCAAGGAAGAGAATGGTGGGTTGCAAAGGCTTTTCTGGAGATGGGATGACGCGATGCGCGTTCGGCGAAGAGTGCACGGATCACAGCCGTCGTCTGGTGGGGTGGTGAATTGCCCCGCTTCAGAGTTAGAGCTCAACACCATGCCAAGGATCACGAGCTTGCACCTTGATTATGTATATAGTGTTAAGAAATAGACAGAAGACGCCAGGTCCTTATAAGGAGTAAATAATATTCGAGGCATCTCTCTAAGAACAAGCAGCATATTAGATTGGTGTCTCCAGTGGGGAACAGAAAGCATCCATCATCTTTCCTGACCGGTATCATAACGGGGTATCATATCGCAAGTTCCTACTCCTTCGGGGTCCCTTCCTTCGAAGAAGGACGCTCCGCCTTCTTCCCATCCTTATCCAGGTGAAGCGCATGCTTGATCTTGTCCTTGATGGAGTTACCCTGATCAGGCGGGTGACTATGTCCGCCGTACTTCTCGATGTGGACGTTGCCAGAGCCGCCGCGCTAGAGGTTCGTCAGTGAAGGGCGTAGACAAAATTGTTCATTTACTGAACATACCCCAGTGTGGTAATTTTCCTGGTGCCCGCGCAAGGCCGTCTCGGGCACGTAGTCGAACGAGGTGCGGCGTGGAGCCTCGTCGGCTGGAGCGAGACGAGGTGAATTCACGATATTGCCGCGGCCACCACGCTTTGCTTCTGTTATTGAGCTGCTCGAGGGTTGAGATAGGTGAATGGCTTACTCCGGTGGAGTATTCTCCCTCAGCAGCGAGGCCCTGCACACCCTCGCGGACGATGCCTCCATCGGTGTAGCTGGCCATATTAGGGCTCAAGTCGCACTGAGGGTTATCTTAGAAGGTGACGCGACTCACACATTGCTGTCTGGGCCGATGTTACCAGCACCTAGCTGGTGAATCAGCACCCTCAGCTAGATGATTGCAGCAGTGAGGGGACTTACCGCCTCTGCCGGTGGAATGGATGGGAGCGTTACTCATTCTGGATGATGTGGGTTCGTGTGAAAAAGAAAAACTGCGTCCCTGTCGTTATATGTGCTCTTTAGGATATCGATAAGGCTGACGGTGTCCGAACCAGGAACGGGCGCGGGAGAGGGAAGTAGCAGCGAGGTGTCACCGGCAGGCCTTTATATTTGTTCTGCTCATTCACCCCAGCCCTTCAACATGGCATGACGCAAGGCATCCATGACCGTGGGATGGGCGCCACTGTGCTCAATTTGGGCATGGAGGCAGTACTGTGGTTTGCAGGCGCACAATTCGCCCAGGCAATGTCGCATCTCGGCTTGGCTGCCGAGTGTTTTGTGCAGCCACAGATTCCTTCTTTCTCCTATCCGTCTGTTTGTTGATGGTGTGAGGTGATGGGTTTCCCGCCGACGATAAGATAACGATTGCACCCCTGATTTGCTGACAAGCATGACTAAGCAGTGCACCGCCTCCTATGTATTGATACCAGGCATCATCTCCCAACTGTTCTCCCTATCTATATGGGATGCAGTCTCATCTAGAATAGAAGAGATCTGCTTGGTGGATGTTGCTGGGTCGCCGAGAAGACCTTGAAGCAAGGCACAATGCACGCTTGTCATGCTTGCCGGAGCTGGGACCGGCTGCAGGATATGGTACGTCAACAGTGGACAGGTTCGGAGTGCTCCGAGGGGCCTCGGTGCGTTGATGGACCGTCGGATGCGTAGTGAAGTGCTGTTCTTAGATGTAGGAATACAAAATACATATACCTCATAAAGTCGCCTGTTTCCTCCTCGTCAGGTGCGTGAAAGACAGCCCCCTAACACCAGGACAAGTGGTCTTACAAATCGCCACGAGACATACATTATCTCGCCCAGCAGTCCAGTTTATGACTTCTGCTTGTCTTGCGTAGCACCTCCCGTGGTGGGAAGTCCCATGAAAATCTTGAAGTAATCGTAGATCATCCACTGCAATCCGGTCAAAGTACCAATCATGACAATACGGACGGGAAGGCCGTTCCACAGCCCGCCAAATCCAATGTGTCCATAGATACGCTTCAAGGCCGCACCAAACGCCTCGCCAGGTTGGCGGTCCGCGTTGAGCTTGGACACCATGACATCAGCAGGGTGGCTGACGATGGCGCAGAGAATACCGGCAATGTATCCACCGGCGAACGAGACCGCTGTCTGAGCGCCCTTTCCGTAGTCGCTCTTCGATCCGGGGAGATAGCCGTAGATCAACTCGACGGTTTTTTCGAAAGAAGCAAACTGCCAATGTTCAGCAAGGCGCCGGATGTTCAGATTTTGCTTAGCCCACCTTCATCATCGTGTATGGAATTTGCCTACCCCATAGCGGGTAGAGACCTTTGTAGAGTCTGGAATGGCTCAGGGTCAGAGTCCGGATTTTATACTCAGAGGCGAACAGCTTACCCGCCAAAACTTTCCTTGCCGACAATGTAGTTGATACCTCCCAGTGTCGTACGCGCGAACGGCGGGATCGTGGTCTGCATCCGAACCTTCACAGCTTCAAAGGGGCAGAGACCAACGTCAGCAATGAGTTCGGCGGAAGCCGAAGCCGAGAGATAGACTCCGGTCTTGAACTTGTGGAAGTTGTCCTCGCCGAGCAAGTCCGCATAGAACTTCTTGAAAAACTCATATCCGCCGTACTTGAACGCTCCTTGAACTGAGTAGCCCCAGAATGTGGGTCCCCATCCTGTGAACACTCCCCGGATGCCCTCTGCACGGCCAATCTTGCCCCAAGCTTCGAAATTGCCTTTATACATCTTGGAGTCCACCTGTCGACGACACTTCACGAGGTCCAGAGGTGTCACGGCAGTGTGAGTGAGACCGCATGCAAGCATGCCACCAAATGTGCAAGCGGCATAGTATTTTGCGGAGTAGAGCTCAATCCCGCCCGTTTTGGCCTGAGCTTTGCTGCTTGCTTTCTCAAACTCGGCGACGGCAGCGTCGCTAAGCTTTGCAGCTTTGTTCTTCGCATCATCGGCTGCACTCCAGATGGGATAATTTTCATGGTTAGCCTGCCATTTCGAACGCTGATTCAATGGCGCTTCATCAGCTTTCCGAGAAAAAGGTGAAGCGCCTCCGAAGGCAAGACCAAGCGTGTGCTGTCCTGGGAAAAGGTTCGGCATGTTGATGGTGCTTAGTTGCTGTGTATCTGTCAGACCAGAAGTTAAGTCCGTGACCATTCACTCCGTGCGCTTACGTCTCCAATCGCAATTGAGAGGCTCGGTGCCTGTCGAAGCCTAGGATATCAGAGATTTGTGGCTATGACGTACACACGTCGTGGTACCTTTTGTGGTAGACGAAGAGCTTCGTTTGCGATGACAGCGAGGCCGAAGGGCATGTTGGGCGACGTCACTGACTTGGCGTTAACAGCTTATATCCGAGATTCCGCTAGAGTCCACCTGCCATTGGACATAATAAATTCACTCAGTTGTCGACGCTAACTACAACAGGAAAGCACAGCAACTCAACACCATCTGCCACTTAACATAGGGTGATACTTCCGAAGGACCGTATACATAGTACTTGTACATTCGTATGGCACCACCCGAAGGAAATATCATCAGAAGTCGGAGCGGGGAAACTCGGTTGTCCTGCTACAGGTTGGTGCCCGTCACGCGTTGCTGGCTACATTGATCTTTCGCATTCGCGAAATGTACAGAGCGCAGACCGTCCGGAGCCAAAGTCACTGAACCGTATCTATATGTTCAAGTTATCCGCGATACCAGGAGGAGAGACAGACTTTCTACGTTCTTCAGATGAGAGCACATGGTCCGTGCCAAGCGATCGACACTTAGCTACCGATGAATGTTGTGGACACCATACTCCGTACACAGGACTTTTTTCGAACGACAGTCGTTAACCAACCATCAATTGATAGCATCAGAAACAACCAGAATTGCCTGCACTCCTTTTTCTTCGGATACGAGCGGCATGCGCTGAAGCGAGGTAGTCCCTACCGGGCTTGGTCCCTTCGGATGTGTTTCAGGACGGTGTGAGCCCACGGCTCTCTCGCAACTCTCGTCTCAGACCTCTCCCTCACAGCGCCTGGCTATTCCATCCTCATACTCGCCCACCGGGAAACGTCGTCCGCGTGCCCTTGACACTGGCCCGGGATGACGATTCAGGTGTGCCCTGCCTGCAGGATAGCCTTGGCCACCGAGTCCGACAATGCCCTCTTCACGCGTTACAGCCATCCGGCCCTTCATAGAATCAGATCATAGGAGGCCAGGCCTCGTCTGACTTAGCCGCGAAGCCTGATGCTAAAACCCCACGAAAAAGCACGAGCGCCGAAGGCCTCGATAAGTACTGATGCGGTACCTCAGGGGCAGTGGAATGGTTTGGAACCTCTGTTCGGCTTCGCTCGCTCGCCCTCCTCCGGACCTACTCTCCTTCCTTCTTCCCCGCTCTCTTCGACAGTCTGCTGTGCAGTTCTTGACTGAGCCTGCATGTCTGTGACATTTACACTCATTTAATCAGCTGGGCTGTTATCGTACTAATAATTTTTTTTCGTTTCCAACTATTCTCGTCCTCTTTCGCATTTGGCCTTCGTGCGACAGGCGTGATGAGGAGAATGAAGCCGTCATGGCCCCTTGCCTTTGACTTACTACTTATATCAACAGTGCGTCCTACCTCGCTGCTGTCCATTGAAGATATTGACATTCATAAGGTGGTCGCCGTTCCTGGCCTCAACGTCCACGATATCGGACCTGGTGTGCAAAGGCGCGAAGTGGGAAGTCTGGAAGAGGAGGCATATGACGGTGTCAAGAGAAGGAACTTGGGTGTCGAGAACATCATCGACGGTCCTGGAGTGGGAAAGAATGAAAAAGGTGCTGAAGGGCCCGACCTTCTCAAGGAATTGGGCATTGACCAATCCGATCTTGGACACGCCAAGGGGTCAGCGGACGTGAATGCCATTCTCAACCGTTTGGGCAATGGTAGAGATCCCATTGGCCTCGATATCAGCGATCTTGCGAAGCAACTCGAGCTTGGAAAAGGAAAAAATAAGGACCTGGGTCGACTGGTCGAAGGAATCAAAAATACAAATGGATCCCTTGCACAGCTTCCTGATGGGAAAAAGAAAGGAGAGGGTAAGGGTCAAGCGAAGGGGTTCACACTCATCAAGAGTAGCCAACCTGTCGCCGAAGGTGGCTACACGAACACAACCGCTCCTCCGCTGGCCACTTCCCTTTCTGCCGAAGCAGAGACAAGTTCAACAGTACATACGACCCCAACAAGCGAAGTGACTCAAGCTGAGGCTACAGTATGTTCTGAAAAACCACAGTAGATGCCAACTAATCCGCTTGCAGACTACCTTGCACAATACAAATAGTTCTACACTACCCAGGCATCCCGGAGCAGGCGCTGTAACAGTCATTGCTGAAGCAGGCAATGGCCATCCGCCTCCAGTTGTGGAGCACACCACTTCAACCGTTTCAATCAATTCCGCCCACCTGACAGTTGCTGACCTTGTGGCTGCGACTACAACAACGGCTGTTGAAGGAGTGACCGTTGTTGCAGGCGAACAAGTCCACCCACCTCCTGAATCCTCTATGCATGAGACGAGTGCGATGGCTGAGACCCCGGAACATCCTCCACAAATTGCTTCATCGAGCACTGCAGCATTGCATCCTCCACCATCACCACCCGCAAACCAACACGTAGTGAACTCGACAAGTCAAGCAGCCGCCGTTACGGTTGTTGCTGGTGGTAATGGCAATGCTCACCCACCACCTCCTCCTGCGCATGCCGTTGAGACATCGAGTCCCGTGCTTCATCTCCCACCTTTCCCGTCTGCGCATCCATCTCCTAGTCCGCCTACGATCGTCGCTCATCCGCCGCCGCCTCCAGTCCAGGAACATGTGGTCGATACTACCACAACAATCACAACCACTGCCGCCGCCGCGGTCACTGTAGTCGCAGGGGGTGGAGAGACTGTACATAGCCCTCCTCCGAACGTACATCCTCCGCCCATGGTACACCCTCCTCCTATGGTACATACCACCACAAGCGCCGCCGTTGAAGTCGTTCACACAACAACTTCAGTTGCGGCTGCAATCACGGTAGTTGCCGGTGACGGAGGTAATGCTCATGCACCTCCTCCCGTCCACTCTCCTCCCCCGGTCGTACACACTACAACGACCTCAGCAGTAGCGCACCCAGCGCCTCCGCCACCTCCACCAGCACACATTCCATCGAGCCCGGCACCAGTCGCTGTCCACTCCTCCCAACTTGCCGGATTTGCCTACCCATCACCTCCCGCAGTCCATTCCTCACCCAACCCAGCACCCGTAGCAGGCCACCCCGGAGCATCCTCCATGGCCAACCATGTTGCTCCCCTCCCCTCAAACGGCCATACACCCAAGTTCTCCCTTCACTTGCAGGCAACTCTCACCATGCACTTCAGTGGCGCCCAACCCACGCCAGCCGCCCCCGTCGCCGATGGCTGCAACTGCCACTGTGCCTGCCCAGCCGGCTCATTCCCCATGCAAGCGCCTCAAGCCCAACCATTCCAAATCATTGGATCTATGAACCCCCCGCCAGTGTCGCCAGTCCCGCCCCCGCCGCCTTCGACGTTACAGACAGTCGTTTCAACGGCTGTGTCGGTACTCCCTTCCTTTGGACTCAATGAAGGCGATGTCGCTACGTCGACGGCACCACTCATCGAACTCCCGGCTTCGTCGACAGATATCCCTCTCGCCATCAACACCACCACGGTCTCCAATTTCGGCGAAACTCCCACTGATGGCGGCGTCGTCGAGACCACGGCAGCAACCAGAACGACGACGTCAGATGGCAGCATAACAACTTCCACGGATATCTTGCTCGACATCCCGAGCGCGCCGAGCAGCGTTTCCCCTTCATCAACAGCAACCCAGGAAGCCATCTCTCCTCCAACAGACACGGCGGCGGCAACGACGACTACGTCGACGGTGGAAGCAGTTTCGCAGATTGCAGAGCCGACGCCCGTGCCGCCGCAAGGAGAGGAGGTGAAATTACCGTTTGACATCCAGACGATGGATTTGCAGAGCAAGGTTACTGTTAATCTAGGGGCGAGGGGGATGAGAGCGAGGGCTACGGGACGCTGAGGTATCTGAGGAAGGGGACGCATGGGGCACGGAGGAAGACGTTATGCGTATGATTGCCACAGTTGGTATTTAATTTTTCCTTTTTTTCGCTTTTAGGTTCTACGCCTGATGTTTTGATTCTTGAGTGGCGGTTATTGCTATTTAGATAGTTGCAAATGGGAGTTAGATACCCCCTGCGTTGGTCAATGACTAGTATATCATGTTGTCAACAAGGGCTACAGCGAGAGCCCCAAGTAAGGTTTGTGATTTGTTTCATTTGTTTGAAGGGGAATGCCTAGCATTCCGATTGTTAGGTAAGAGATGTCGCAACGTCCGCGTGCCGTCGCCCTGGCCACAGTTTACGGCCCTAAGGGCACAGCTGCACCTCAGCTGATGAATGCATCTCTGGGCTTATCTTCCGGTTCTTCAATCCATTCTCACAGACTCGGGTCTACGCCCGAGATCTCAGGTTTGAAGCCCACTGGCAAATTTCCTGCGACCATGTAGACATTGAGTCCTTCACCCTGGGATACGCGACCTCAACACCGTCTCACTGAGCGGTCTCCATTTTCTTATTGCGTTTCGCTTGGCGTTTCGATATAGGCCTGTCTTTCTCTCCGCCAGACTGGGACACCGGAGTGCCTTCCATAGAATCAGCATCCCGCTTATTCAACGGCTTCTTCCCCTGATTCTTCTGGCCCTTGGTCTCCGTCTTCCCCTCCCCAGCCTCTGCAGCAGGCTTTTCCCCTCCATAGACTACATCCACTACTCCGCGATAACTGGTGCGCTTCAACCGCGCATACTCGACCACACTCCGCGGCTCTTTCGTGACCCCATCTTTACCCCTTTCGTGACCCAATCCCCACACAGAAGCCAGATTTATGACATCGCTCGGCGCCCTCACACCCAGCACACTCTGCGCTTCCGAACTAAAAACGAGACCCCTGCCCCGAGTGACCCGAATCAACTGCACCACATTACTGATCAACGTCCGTTTCGCGCTGGGATCGCTCGACGTGATAGCCTGACTATAGCACAGCTCGATCTTGACACCCCGCGCTAGGGCGGAGCTCAGCATGGAGAACTTGAAGTGCGTCTCAGGGCGCTGGGTTAGGTCGAGGGAGACGAGGTCGACGTCGAGGGTTGCGCATGCTTGTTGGAGGGTCCGTTCGTTAGTGGGGCGTGCGGCGAGGATGTCGTAGTGTTCGCGCAATTGGGAAAGGAGTTTGTTGTTGAGGCCTAGGTCGTGCATGTAGAGGGTGCATCTTCGCAGAATTCGCAGTCGTGGAGGCGTGGGGAAGGGGAGTGGTGTGGGGATCGGAGGAGTCTGCAATAGGTCAGTTAACCTGGTGGTATTCAACAGATATGCCTTTCACCACTTACCAAGTCCGATGGGACCTTTCCCGCCAAGGTATGAGTGAGGGCGATAACGTCGTATCCTACTGTCTCTGGTCAGTCGCGATTTCCGCACGCCCCGAGCCGCGACTTGAGCAAGGGCGGCTCGTAGGTAACATTTCGAGTTGCCCGCGAGGGTAAACAGATCCTCTTACATTCATACAGGAAGGCGACGGTCCGCTGCAGCTCGCCCAGGTTCTCCGACCACGGAATATTGAGATCGTAAAACATGGCTGGACTCATGGAGACTCGCAAGCTGCGTCGACAACGGCAAGACGATTGTGGTGAGCTCCAAGGTAAATAAGGTGCCCTGGTCCCCGCCAAGCCACTCACGTGCCCAGCCCTGTTCACACAAACCCCAGCCGTGAGACACCAAAGCTGCAAAACATTGTCTGCACCACCATCACCAACACTGTTCGCTTCACCGCCGCACGCGGCAGGACGTCTCTGCGACCGCGCCCGGAACGCCGCCCAGGATCCAGTACTCCAGGCGTTTGCAGCAATCCTCGGTCTCATCTGCTTCTTGGCCGCTTGCGTCGACATCAACCCCGCTACCCACCACACACGCGCGGATCTTGCCGGCGACTCGCACACTCTCGTCGAGGCAATCACTGCTGGTGCAGCAGTCGTGCGCACCGTTTCGACCGACATGGCACTCAACAGTGCTGGCGGCGCCGCCAGCATTGCCCGCGTCTATGCTGATGTCAACCAAAATATGCCCCGCGCATACTGGGACTACGACAGCGTGAACATCTCCTGGGGAGTGTTGGAGAACTACGAGGTAGTGCGTAAGATTGGTGCGCACTGTTATATCCCTCACGGCGGCGAGCTGTCATAGCTGATTGTATGCAGGCCGCGGAAAGTATAGTGAAGTTTTCGAAGGCATCAACGTCGTCAACTACCAGAAATGCGTCATCAAAGTTCTGAAGCCGGTCAAAAAGAAGAAGATAAAGCGCGAGATCAAGATTCTGCAGAACCTGGCGGGGGGACCCAATATCGTGGCACTGTTGGATGTTGTCCGTGATAATCAGGTAGGATATCTGGCTGGACTGATAGTCACAGCTACTAGCCCTCCGCCGGCTGTGTTCGCCTTATGCTGAGTGAACGCGCAGAGTAAAACACCGTCTTTGATCTTCGAATATGTCAATAATACCGATTTCCGCAGCCTGTACCCAAAGTTCCAGGACTACGATGTGCGGTACTACATTTATGAGCTGCTCAAGGCACTGGACTTCTGCCACAGCAAGGGCATCATGCACAGAGACGTGAAGCCTCACAATGTCATGATTGATCACGAGAAACGAAAGGTGAGTGCGCACTTGACAGGCAGAGGCTTCTTGCTAATTGTCGCAGCTTCGTCTGATCGATTGGGGTCTGGCTGAGTTCTACCATGCCGGTACTGAGTACAACGTGCGGGTCGCTTCTCGCTATTTCAAGGGTCCGGAGCTGCTCGTGGATTTCCAGGAGTACGACTACTCGCTCGACATGTGGTCCCTCGGCGCCATGTTCGCTTCGATGATATTTAGGAAAGAGCCCTTCTTCCACGGGGCCAGCAACTCCGACCAGCTCGTCAAGATCGCAAAGGTCCTGGGCACCGACGAGCTCTTTGACTACCTCGACAAGTACGACATCGAGCTCGATGCACAGTACGACGATATTCTGTCGAAATACCCCAAGAAGTCGTGGCATTCGTTTATTAACTCGGAGAATCAACGGTTTGTTAGCAATGATGCGATTGATTTCCTCGATAAGCTTTTGCGCTACGACCACCAGGTATGTCCACTGTTGCGCAACTGGATAGATTGATAATCTGACTCTCGATAGGAACGTCTGACGGCGAAGGAGGCCATGGACCACCCATATTTTGCGCCCGTCAGGCAAGCAGCAGCAGGGAATGCCAATACAGGATCGTGATGCTGGAGAAATGATTTTTAAACGACACACTCAGTGACACAATTCCGCACCCCAGTTTGCGTCCGACAAAACATCAAGAAACACTACATCTTCCTCTGATACCCTGGACTGATCTACTATGCTTTTATCTTATTTGCACCAGCGATCATGGGTGTAGTCTGGGGATTGGGGCGCGCAGGTGTGAAGTCTGGAGGAGCATTTTATATCATTGACGAGTACGCGGCATGACCCTGTCGTATAGACCCGGCCATTGTTATCTTTCAGCGATACAGGTGACTACTTCTCGTGAGAGGAGAGACAGGACGTGAGTGGCTGGGGATGAGCGCAAGCGGTTTTGGGGTTCATTATAGCATGTTTGGGCGTTGCTTCTATCGTATTCAGACCCCGCTGTTGAGATTGCCACAATATGGCGGAATATTATTAATGGTTCTGTCCATGGGTGTTGGGTTAACTAGTATGTGCTTCTTTGGTTTGTGTGAGGTTGTGTGGGTGTATCGTGGGGTTGTGATGAGGATGTGATGGGAGTATGGTGTTGAGGGGTAGCGGTAGGGGGTACGTCATAGATCCAGAAGAGTGTAGATGCAACTTGATAAAGGGACAAAAAAACTACTACTGTGTACGTGCGGCATTACCCAGCGTCCGATCCACCACGGCTTATTTTCGATTAAATAGGATTACGCTTCTTCCACCATCCCATCCCGTCAAACCAAACACTCATACAACGGCTGAATCCCAAGTCGCAACTCTCGACTCCCAAGTCTAGTCTCTACTATCACATTCCACCTTATCTACTTGTACCGCAGCTTACAACCTCTGTACATCCATTGTTAAACCTCTCAAGACCACCAAAAGAATACCATAGCAAACCAAACCAAACCAAACCACACGGGACCACAGCAACGAAATCCACTCAAACCCCAAATCTTACTCCGCTATCCCTGTCCCCATCCCCGTCACCATCCAAATCAAATCCATTCCCAAAAATATAAAAAGAAAAAAATGGCAACAAACGGCGCCTCAACGAACCCAACCGGCGACCCGACACCCACATTTGCGAAGGGACAAGGTCCACCTCCGCCGGTGGATGAAGAGACGAAGAAGGACGTGCTCGAGGCGGCGAGGAGGGATCCAGAGGGGGAGAATGTGGGCGGGGTGGATGAGGAGAGGGAGAGGGCCGGGGTGGAGGTTAGGGAGGTGGAAGGGAGAGAGGGGAGGGAAGAGGGTAGGGAGGGTGAGGGGGAGCGGTAGGGGAGAGAGGATAGGCGGTAGGGAGTAGGAGGAGAATGAGTGGTTGGGATAGAAAGACTGTGGGTGAGCGAAGGGATAAAGCAGGTGGTAGGTATGTACTATCCAGTGCAATCGTGCCTATCCTAACTGATGAATCGGGATTAGATGCCAACGACTCCCCATTTGCAGAATAGGGTAAACGATTCGGGTTGAGTAACGTCCATGGTTGGAATTCCCTATATAATTGAAACCCAACCCTTGGAAGCCCCACTGCATATCCCGCACAACCAGACTGTGGAATAAACACCTGCATGAAATGATACCCCAGGTGTGCGACAAACGACAAATGTATTTTATATTTTCGGATGGGTAGTACTAGTGTTCAAATCTGACAGATCTATATCTCTAGCTTAGCTTTTCTTAATAAGGCTTCTAGACTGTCGTATCCTATATATTTTTCGGCATGCCGGCCCAATGACCAATATGAGCGCATTGAGAAGGGCGAACCACTGATCTTGGTCTCCCAACCCCGACCCGCTTCTTGGGAAAGAGATCCGGACCTTGAACGGACGAACGGTAGTATCTGCCGCCATCGGTATGCCGAGGAACAGCATCAGTGCCAGAAACACTCCGGCCCAGACAGAAGCGGAAAGATACCAAGTAAAGTCTAGATCTTTCCCAGGAAGGCCCATATACACCTGTGTTATAGTAAAAACGTTTACAGCGCTGAGGAGCGAAAGCGCCAAAGAGATGGCCGTAAACCAACCGGTCGTTGGCTGGAGCACGGAAGCGAAGGTGCAAAGACTCCAGAGCATCACCCAGGACGCCCGCCGCCTTGCTGATGATGTGGGGAGGGATTCGACACTGGGGTGCTGCTCTTTATGGAGGTCGAAGAGAATTGCAAAGAAGGAAATCATGGCGCCGATTCGGGTGACGCAGTGGGCGGCTTCTCGGCGCGGAGAGTACTCGTGGTTGGATGCTCGAATCAAGACTTCGACGCTTGAAACGGTCGGGTATGCAAATGTGGCCAGCATGGCGGCGTCGAAATCGAGGTTGTCTTTTATGTGGGTAGCGTCGTCCTCCAGCAGTTGATATTTCGTGTGAGGTTTTGGAGATGATGCGATAAGGACCTTCCGAGGAAATCGGTCGAGTAATATGCGACACTCTCCTGACAGCAAGGTGAGAATGCTAGTCAGAAACCAGGCGACGAAAGAGCCGGGTCCATAGAACGAGTTGACGGTATGGGAGTCCGCTTGAGTAAAGCTCATAGAAACCGTCTGGAAGAGAACGTAAAGGAGGTTCAGTCCCATAATGCCTCTTTGGAAACTCCACCATTCTTCGAGGTCATTCGCCATTTCTAGCAGGAAGTGGGGGAGGGGAAAATCAACAAGTTGTACGACCGCTAATGCGGGGAAAGTGTGATTTTGAAGAGAGGGGTCAGAGAATGAAAGTGTGCGGCTGAGGTACGAAGTACGAATCCCGATCCGTTTGCACATTAGCACTTTGGGAATCGGTGCCCTGCCAGCAGCGAGTGCCTCCCCGTGGGGAGATGTTCAATGACCTACAACTAAGGAGGTGTTGCCAAAAAGTTTGGGCCTCCCCTCAGGTGGCTTACGCCACCTGAGGGCTGACAACTTGTAGTCTTAGCATGCTACGCCTTCTCAGCGAAATGTCACAGATCAAAGGCAAGCAGGCAGGCTGGCAAAACAACGGACGTTTAGAAATTCTTTTCCATTCATGAACCCAAATCACTCGAAGAGAGTAGGGGATGTATACCCATATCAAACCTCCAAGGCCTACTAACCTCCCAGGTCCCTCCCAAGAACAAAAAGTGCAGAATTACCATCGTCGCCTCCGCCCAAACCGCAAGGAAAACGGAAATTGCAAAACGAGTGGAACACATAACACCTGTCGGTGGGCCTGACTGACCAGTCGAAGCCCCCGAACAAAATCCCTTACCAAATCAAATCAACCTTGCCAATGCCATCATCCATCGTATCCATATCAGTAGCACTGTCCATAATATTCCCATGCTTCGTCAGAGCATGATCATAATCCATCATAACGTTCTTTCCCAAGCCCAAAGCAAGTGGTATCTCGCCCACTGATATATACGCGCCTGAACACCTCCCATCATGCGCAAAAATATCCCCTCCGCCTACTCAACTTCGTCCTCTCCGCAATTCAAACCCTCACACCCTGCCCTCCCCACCTCAACCTCCTCAATCCCAACCCCGCCGTCGCCCCCCTACCCACCTCCCCAACAGCCTCCCTGCCACACCTACCCGCCTCCTTGGCCGCTCCCCCCAACTCCCCCATCACCTCGGCATGCCCCGTCTCTTTGCCCACTACGTACCCCGCCGAAAAGCTCAGTGCGGAGACGAGCACCACGACGCCCGCGCTGACGACCCAGGTCAGGAGCGTCGGACTGATGTCGTCGATGCCAAGGGCGGTGGCAGCACCGGTGGTGCGGGCTTTCTTCGTGGCGCGGCGGTCTTTGGAGGAGCTGCGGAGTGGCGGTTGCTGATGGGTCGGGGACTGGGGAGCGGCTTTGCGCTTGGTCGGGGGGTCTGGCGATGACGTCGTCGTGGTCGTGGTCGTCGTGGTGCGGGTCCGCGCCGGTGAGGGCGTTTCGCCTCTTACGACGCTCTCGGGCACGAGGCGCAGGGATGTGGGATCTACGCGTGTCGAAGGGCTGGGACTACTGGTAGTGTCGTTGCTGTTCTTGGGTCTGCCTTGCTTGGGTAGACTGCGGACCGCGGCTGCGGCGGAGAGCAAGGTAGATAAGCTGGCTCGCAGGGCTTCGTCGTGCTCGGCGTGGTATCTGTGCGGGGAGAGACCTCCGTAGGGGGGTGAGTGCTGGGGGTAGGAGTGGCGGGCGGAGCGGGTGGTCGGGCGGCGATTGGGTGGGTAGCTGCTGGCTCCTATACGGGGTTCGTCGGTGGAGGTGGGTGGATGAGAGAAGGCGTTTGGTCGGGGCTCGAAGGTGCGTTGATGGGAAGAGCGGGGGTAATTGACGGCCGTTGCGTTTTCGTCGTCGTCGTCTTCGTACTCGAAGTCTCCCTCCCGCTCGGACGTGGTCTCGGATGAAGTGGCAGAGTACATGTCGCGCGAGGGTCGGCGGACCTCGTACTGCAGAGGGGAGGGACCGATGCCCTCGTTCGACGAGGTCATGACGCGATCCGACTCGCTCTCGCTTTCTTCATATTCCTCCTGGCTGCTCCCACCGCCTCCTGCACTCGTGGCCCTGTATCCGGTGCCGATGACGAACTGGCCGCTTGTGCGCGAGCGGCGGCGACGGTGCAGATTGGAGTCATGCTGTACGCGAAGGCCTGTGGTGATGATCTCGTTATCGGCGGAGGAAAGGGACGAGGAGGACTGTCTGGAAGCGATCTCAATCCAGGAATCTGGAGCAGTTAGTATACTGCCATGAAGTGGGAGTGACATTCAAAGAACATACTCTCGGCCCTCAACTGCTGAACCGACGTCGGATTCACCTGCATCTGCACGACGTTCCTCGCAGGCGATTGTGCAGGTGTCTCCGCTCTGCCCGGCTCTCTCCTCGCCCGTTCGGAGGCCATATGTCGTATATCTCTTCTCTCTTCTCTCTTCTCAACCGCAATATCTGCCAACCTCCAACAACGACAGTAACACAGTCAGAGACACCCGATGTGTAAGGAGTGTCCTCGATCCTTCGCAGCGGGGAAACACGTCCAGGCGAGGCGGTCAGTGGGGATGCAGGAATGGTGCAATATGTCGATGCAGGGGACGTGTCTTTGTTGTCCTTAGCAGCGCCCAAGAGCTCCCTTGTCCGCGCCGTCTCCTCTCCTTGCCGTAGTCGTGGTGGGTGCTGGACGCGGCCAGCGAGCAAGCTACTCCAAAGACCCCGCAGTGCGCCCGAGCACGAGATGACGTGTGGGGGACGTGGGGTTGGTCGAGACCCGAGTGAAAGGACTCCTGGGCACAGAAAACAAGGACAAGGACGAACCGCAAGTCGTGAAGAAGAAGAAGAACAGCAAAGTTGAGGAGGGAGAAAGCAAGGCACGCCAGGAGGATTAAGGCCAACTGTAAGGGTCCTGCTGCTGCGAGGTCGTCTTACTACATACATAGACAGTAGATGACAGCCTGCTCTATTGGTCACGCTGCTGGCTCAGCATAGCGGCGCATGCACCCAATCACACGGCCTCTCTTTCTTCCCCGCGTGGCTGAGCTAGAGGGTATGCCATTCTTGATTCACTGTCGCTGTTGCTACATGACCAAAGTCCATCTACGGATGCACTACAGAGTACGCGGTACATGCTGATCAAAGCCCATCTGACACGGACAGAAAAGGCTTAGACATATCAATATGTTTATCTCTCTAGGTGGATAGGACAGGTCAGATGTTGTCGGAACATTCACCCAAAGTTTGCTTCGGGGTAGAGGTCTCGATCCAGTTGGCCTTGGTTGCGGGGAAGGCGTAGGTACGAGACCATTACTGCGTGCACGCGGTCTATGATGATAAGTACTTGGTGGAGTAGGCGAATAGAGGACCTGTAAGGTACACGTGAGGTAGCCTCGGTGTTTGTAGATACCAAGTCCGACTTACTGACGACTATCTGGTAACCTCTACCACAACTATGAAACCCCAAACAAGCAAACAACAAGTATCCAATATCCCCAAAGGACCCCGCATAGGGCCCTTATTTAACATGAGGGAGACGATGTGAACATACCTAGGAATGCAGCGTGTAGATGCAGAGAAGAAGCGGTATCGGCCTGTAAACTGAGACTAGAAGTGATAAAAAGCCCCTTACCGCAGGAGCGGCATGCTGGAAGACTGAAAAGAAAGGAAGAATACTTCAATGCGAGCACCCGAGCGCCTTATAGTCATATGTTCATCCAAATCCTTCTCTTCCCCTCCCCTCCCCTAACCCCAAGCTACTGCTTTTCCTTCTTCTTCTGCTCCTCCTTCTTTTTGTTCTTCTTCGGATCCGCCCTCATCCCCTTAAACGAATCACTGATCCAATCTTTGAACTTCTCCCACGGATTCCGATTCAACCGATCGCTCAGCCGCCGAAACTTGTACATCTCCGCCCAGCAGTCCCTCCCCCACTCACAGCCCGCCATATTCACAAGGAAATCCCGGTCCTTCTCCTGGTAGTGGATTTCTGGGTTATCGCCCTTTTCTCCGCACGCTCCGGCGGGGAAACTGTTGACTTTGCGCTGGCGGATAAACGCCACGTGCGGTCGGATCCACGGTTGGTTGGTGTACATGTATTCGAGGGCATCTTGCTCCTTGTGCTCCCATTGCATATGTTTCTGCTCGTACGCTACTGGGTCCCACCATATATCGAGCAGGCGGTCCGTCCATACGCTTCGCCGGACAAAGAAGGATCCGAGGTTGAAGCCGCCGCAGTCTTGGGGCACGATGATGTTGATGGAGTCGACCTTGCCGTCGCCGACGGGAGAGCGCGTCTCCGGGTCGAGGTATTCTTCTGCCGGAGGATGGGAGATGTTGAGGGGGTTGTAGAGGTTGATGTCGCGGTAGGTGACGTCTTTTAGATGCTTGAAGATGTGGCTTTGGAGGGAGTAGGAGGGCTCCATTATGAATGTGTTTGTATCGAGCCACCAGAACCTGATTTCCTTAGTGTGCATTGGATTCGGATGCTTTTGCAGACTCACCACTCGGCGTGCGGATACTTGCGCATCGCATTCCGGATTGTGTCCACCTTCTCCCAGCTCTCCCTCCACTCGTGCGCATAGCGCTTCTTGGTGCTCATGTCCACCAATTCGAGCTCATAACCCCACTTTTGGGTGTATTTCTTCTTGTTCTTCACGCTGTCTCTCTCAATGGCCCATTCCCGTGGACCCTTCCATTCCATTACACCCCCTCCTTGATTAACTGCGAGAATGACGACGAATTTACTGCCACCGCCTATCGACCGTCGATACACACGATGTAACGCTATCCCAGTCAATAAGCGAAGACCGGATATGTGAGACCATAAGACTTACGAGTCACATAAAAAAGAATAACGGTCAATAAGACTGCTAATATCACTCCCACCGACCGTCTCAGACGCCACAGACTCCTCCCAATGTGTCTCAACAACTCCAACGGCTTGCTGCCCTGGTATCGTCCCCGACCCAACTTCTCCTTCTCCGCATAGCTAAACGGCAAGCTGTTGGAGATGCGACGGAAGTGCTTCCCGAGGAATCCCTGGGACCGGGGAGCGAAACGACCGTAACCCTTCACCTCTGCGCTCCTCGCCTGGGCCGACTCCCACGTCACATTGTGCGAGCTGCCATTTGCAAACCCCGGCATGGGACTCACTCGGCCACCCGTATCGTAGGGTGTGTTGAGGCCAGGACTTGACCAGCCTCCCGGCCGCGGCGACGGCGATCTGGAGCCCATCTTGTTATCAAAAGGCGACGGGGTGCCCGGTATAGTAGGAAGCGGCTCCCCCAGCGACCTCGCCGAAAGGCCACTTGTCGTGCCGAGTCGGCTTCGCGAGTCGGAGGAATCGTGGTGCAGCTGGAGGTTCGGCGGGGGTTGCTTTGCGGCGGAGGAGCGCCTGCGTCGTTGGCCGGCGTTCGCGGAAAAGGTGGTTGGTGAAGCCACGGTGACGGTTCTTTATATTCTAGCCGCGGTAACGGACCCGGAGACGGTATTAGATTTAAGCTGGCCAAGGGCTTGACGAGCGCAAGGAATTGACTCGGCAGCGGCGCCGCGAAGCAAGGCGAGGTGTGTACTTGTGCCGCGACAAAGGAGTGTTCGGTTTTTTGGGGTGGACAGATAGGGAGGACGATAGATTGCGGATAGCCGTGCGACGTCCAGGGTGTGCAAGGTGCAGCGGTTGACGGTCCGCAAGTCGACTTGTTGCACGTCGCAATGTCAGGAGACTGTTGGAAGGACACGAATATGTACAACACGCAGAGAGCGGTGACAGAGTGGAGAAGAGCGTGGACGAGGTTTCTGGGGGGTGCCAGGAGAAAAGGAGAGTGCCATGATCAATTTACCGTCTTCAGCGTTCCCGGACGCCTGGGTCTTGGCGGATTAGGGAGATGAGAAGAGCAATGGCCCTGGCAGTATAGACTAACTGCAGGATCCCTTGGCCAAGTATGGCGAATCTTCCAAAAAACAAGACGAAGCTGAACGCGAAGAAAGAAGCACAAGCCTTTGGGAATCCCCTCTATTGTGTTGTGTGGACATAGTAGTAGTCGCTTCCACCAGAGTACCCCTAAACCGTGTGCGAGCTAGCACTACGGTGTAGTAATAAGGCCCGCTCACACCTGCGATCTGATCAGGCAATTTCTCTTGAAATATGAAGTTGGCTGTGCTAGAAACCGCCCGATCGCAGATGTCTAATAAACTCATCTTGGTGCTCTCACGCTTCAATGTGTAATTCAAAAAACCGCACACAAACTGCGTCCTCCTAGCACAAAGCCGCATCCCTATCATGATATTTATTCGTTAGGCTGCTGCAAAGTCCTAGTCGGTCTATACATGGAATATTTCATACAGAGTATACCCGAGTCCTATTTCGTAAATCCAGGGTTGGAGCTCCTCTAGGCCTCCGCGTACTGTGTAAGCGTAGCCAAACACATCCCGATCGGATCTTAGCGGGGTTTGACGCCACAGCTTGGCGCCCACTTGCGCCACATCCCAGATCACGGGAAGACACCAGTCCAACCTTGGAATCATTGAAGTCTCAATAACGCGGACCTAAACACACAATGTCTCCGAAGAGACATGCAGATTGCCATGCAATCCTCCCGAGCCTGCTGTGTTGCAAGGGCCCCCAGTGACTCGAACCGCTGAGCTGGCTGAGGACGACGGGAGCAGGGGCACGACGGGCCTTGGCAACATGGCTGCGACGGGAGGCCGGCCCTGCAGATTGGCCGGGCGTCTAAATTCCATCATTCACTGGCTCACCACCACATCCAATGCTCCCTCAACGTCGTCTCAGATGGCTGTCCGTCCATGTTGTACATCCAGCCCCAGCGAATCTCGGGCGCCTATGAGCCTCAATCCTTTCGACTAGCGCCCTCTCCAGTCCCTCCATTCCAGTTGGCCACCAATCACCTCACCCATCCGTCCAGCTTCCATTGATTCCCACCCGTACTCCTCTTTGCTCAAACCATCGTGACTGGCACTTCCAGCAAATCAGGGCCTGAAGCGGCCGGACAGAGACATGGCGCGCAACATGGTTACCTGAGTCTTCCAGAAATGTGGAGTCGCGTGTTCCCCTCCGTTACCAAGATCCTTCTCCTGTCTTCCACCTACCTTTTCTTCTCTCTCCCTTCTTCACATTCAGTTTGCTTTTCTGTTGTCGTTGCTCTCTTTAGCATTGTAACCCTCTTTTATTGTTCCTTCTATCCCTCATTACCTCCTGGGCCCCGTTCTTATTCAGACCCCGCACAATAGAACAATACGACTATCACAAACTCTCTTTGTTTCAGCCACCCTGACCGTTTTTGAAACCAAACTCGAGAACAATGCCTTGTCCGTATTCTGACAGCTGATCTACCGCGCTCCTTTCGCTTTCGCCACTCGGATACTTCTTTCCATACTACCATATCGCGAAACTCGAACGACGACGTGAATCGAATTCTCCATACTACGAGTGTTTCTTTTCGACTACTTAGACGGCCTGCGCTGACGCAGTGCTTCAATCATGCCCGCACCCTACGATAATCAACCCGAAACCCTGCCTATCCACCTGGACGACGCATACCTACCCCGTAATGAGACAAAGGAAAGGTCGCAATGGGAGCTTGATGCTCAGATTGCGGCTCGAAAGGCCATGGCCAAACGCCACTCCCGTTCCTACACTGCACGAATGTCACGGACGAAGTCACGGAAGAAGGATATAGCCGCAAGACCGGCAAAGCCTACGATCGACACGAGCTTTGCAAGACACAAGGGCTGCTTGCCACGCCAGGTCTACCCCAAAGAGAACGACGTAAGAACAGGAGGCTCTGTCAAGAGACCTGGATGGTTTGGCGTAAACAGGTCTGGCACCAATGGAAAGGGTTTAGGCATTATGAAAGGCACACCCCAGCCTGGGACTCAACCTGAGGACTACATCACGTCTCCACACCAAGAGCCGAAGACTGCGGACTCCTTGATGACCCCAATGACAACGGGCTGGATGGACATATCCCCTTCGGATCGGCCTATCCCAATCGGAATCTCTCTCCCTTCTGACAGTCTGCCTGATTTGAGCCCCTACCAGACAACGCGGAAACGATCAGAGAGCGATGCCACTCTGATTACTCCAAGCATCATCATCACACCCGCTGCTGCAATGAAGTCGGTATGGTCACCTGATACTGAGTCTGAGTACACGCCGAGCGTCTACTCCCGCGGGACCTTCAACGCTTTTGCAATGAGGTCAGATGTGCCACCAGTCCCAGCACTCCCCCAAGGTTTCAAGTCGGCGACGACAAATATCACCTCTGAGCAATCACAAGACTCAAAAGCTCCACCTGCAAATCGTAGCAGGAACGGAACGCTCGACTCCGCAGGCACCGCTTTTGAAGATGTCGACCTCGACTGGAAAAGCAAAGATCGTATCATGTCGAGCAGTACCGTGTTCGAAGAAGACGAGATCCCACTGCGTGGTGCAGGTGCCCACGCTTCAGTCCTCTCGGTTGACACCTCAGTGGTCCCTACTCCACGCCGATCACAAGGATGGTGGAATTATATCACAACTCCCTTCGAGTTCTCGAGAACGAACTCTGTGTGGACTCAGGGTGGGAGGAATGGCCAGAGGACTCCTGACATTCCCATACTGCCACAAAGATTTGGAGGCGTGAACGACCCTCCTGCTTCCCCATCTACCTATATCTGGTCAGCAACGGACAAGAGTCCATCTTTGAAGAGTCCATCTTTGAAGAGTCCATCTTTGAATGATTCGCCACTATTCCCCATCGCCTTCTCCACCGCCATCAAGGTGTCAAATGTGGACGAGAACGAGCTGAGCGAAAGGAGCGGGGATCAACAATCCGAGACGAATGTCGGTGCTCCCAGCATTAGTGCTAGCACCAGCAACACCGCTGTGGCATCAGTGACAGTGGCCAACAATATTACGAATCATCACCATCAGAAAGCAGACCAGAGCGTCGATCGTGATATCACCTCTCCGTCTTCGGCCATGTCCGCTGCTCCCGTGGTCGGAACTGCGGCGATTGGCACCGTCTTGACGGCACGTCAACCCCCGGCGCAACAGCAACCACAACAAGCAGCACAGCAACCTCCCATCAATGTGAACATCGTATTTCACGACAGGCGGCCTGATGTTGAGGTTCACACGGTGGACGTCAGCCGGTCGGTCGCTCAACAGACCGTTCCTACTCCCAATCTGGTGCCGACTGCCTACCAGGCTCGTAATGGAGACAGCCCGGAGTCTAAAAGTGGATTCTCTCCTCCACCTCCACAGTTTCCCCCACCACCCAGACAGTCCACCCCCGCTTCTGCCTCCTCTTCTTCGCACAAGGAAACGGGAAATCAATCGAATGTCGGCGCATCTTTCCATGGAAACTCCCTTGTATTCCCGCCGCCACCACATTTTGAGCATGCACGGGCTCAGTCTGCTTCAATTCCAAATAGTAGGACCAGCTCGCCGGTCCCATCGGAGTTCAAGAAGGAGAAGCCGCAGAAGCAGCATCGCAAAGTTTTCCACTTGGCAGATCGGCTCCCGGGTTGGCTCCCCTTTGGTGGCCGTGCAAGAACTAAGAAACAGACGAAGCAAAAGAGCCGTCGGAAAAAGTGGTGCATAGGCTGTTGTTGCTGCTTCCTCATACTCGTCCTCCTAGCCATCCTTATCCCCGTATTGGTTGTCGTCACTCGCAGAAACAACAGTAGCAGTAACAACGTTCCGAACGGCACGCAACCTCCTGCCCAGAACGGACAGCAGCCTTCCATTAAGTGGCTCAACCTGACTGGGTATCCTCCAATGCCCACGGGAATTTCGACTATAGCGCAACCCGAAGCTGTGGAAGAAGAAACTGGTTGTATAGCACCGGCCACGGCGTGGAGCTGCGCTGTACCCAAAGAAGGCCAGCAAGCCATCAAGCCAAACAAACCCGATCAGCCCAACCTACGCTTTGAGATCATCTTCGAGAACGGAACCATCGCCGATCCGTCCAAAACACGACCAGCGCGGAGGGCCGCGAATGCTGTATCGGCTGGGGCATTTATTCGCTCCCTGCTACTACGTCCTCGTGCACCTCCGTCGGCATCGCCCCCAGCACCTAATGCAGACCATTACAAGTTTCTGGGGGAGACTACCGACGGTAATACTGGTCCCTTCGAAGGCGAAGAGACGCCCTTCTTTCTGTCTTTCCTGGATCTTCCTGACGCGGTTCCCTCCCGTCTCCTGAAGCGCCAGGCCAGCAACATCACATCCGGCATACCCCCACCGCAACTCAACCCCGACGGCACCGCCGCGCCAGCGAACCTCCTCCCCGAAGCAAAAGGCCAACCCCTTCGACTCTTCAACCGCGGCAAGGACAACGAACACTACGGCTTCTTCCTCTACTACGACCGCTCCATCTTCCTCAAGGAAACAGTCCGCAACTTCACGCGCGGCGGCAACCCGGCCGACCAGGACGGCGGCAGTCCCAAGGAAGCGGCCACGGTGCGATGTACCTGGGCTCAGACCCGTTTCCTCGTGCAGATCTGGACCCGGAGCCAGACGAGCAAGCCGCTCCTGGGGTCGTCCCCTAATGCGCCCACCAATTCAGACTTCAAGCGACCCGGCTCGTTTCCCTACCCCGTCACCGTGACGATAGACCGACACGGCGGATCCGCGACGGAGAAGATGCTGTATTGCTATAAGATGGAGGTTGACGGCAAGATTCGCGATCTCAACCAAAACAAGCAGTTTCTGAGAGAGGATCGGGCGTTTGGCGGAAACCTTGTGAGGCCCGGTGGTGGGCCGGTGCAGGATGTGGGAGGCGTGATTGATGGCGGGAGCGGCGGGTGTAGGTGCCAGTGGCAGAATTGGTTGGCTTGAGAGTGATCGTGTTTTCTTTTGTTGGATTTGCATGGTTTGGTTGGGGATTTGCTGGTCTTGCCGGACCTTTGCATCACTTTGTTTTCTTGAGTTTTTGTGGGATTGCATTGCTGGTTCATTCAAGGCATGGAGGTGCTTGGATATGTGAAACCACTACTGGTTGGATTCATAGGTTTTCTTGTAGTATATATATTCATATAACGTGTTTTACAAGCGAGTGGACACCCCACCAACTTTCTACAACGCGTGAACTCCCAGCCCTCATGGCACCCCCAACCCAAGGCCAGCCAGCCTCGTACGAG